ATAAATAATAAAGATCCATCTTCCTGTTCTTTTACCTGTGCCTCGCTCGCTTCCTTGTCTTTCCTTATTAGCTTTGATATCACAGTGCCATCTACTTGATCAACAGAGTCAGTTTATTTTCCTTGGAAAATAACTGTGCAGCTGTAACTGAAGAAATCAAAGGGCTGCTCAGTTTCCTAGCAAGTTCCTTCTCCTTCTCACCTCCTAGCCCTTTCAAAGCAGCACTGCCCTTAGATGTCCGCCTTTGGGAGCTGGCCCAGCTCCGAGACTGTTTCACAGACCTACACAAAGCCCAGCTGGATAGTGACAGATCCACAGGCACTGCAAGGACAATGCAAGCCCTGCCGACCCTTCTCTCAGCATCCCTTCTCCTCTCTGGCAGGTGTTTTGATTTGAGAGACGGGTCCCCCTCTATAGGCAGAAAACGTGTCAGCCTTTTGTACGTGTAAACTGGAGCAGAGGCTTTGTTTGGAGTAAAAAAGCATCACAGCAGTTGGAGAAGATGGATTGCACAGCTTGAAAGGTTGAGCCATCCCTTCTTAGAAATATCAGCAGCCTAGCCTGAGCCCCGGCAGGCATGTACCTTATGAATTTTTCCTACAAATATTTAGACAAGAAATACTGTAGACGGGGCTAAAAGAAATTATCGCTGTGCGCTTACTTCTAAAGACCTGTTTCTCTACAGGAATCACCAGTCTGGCAAGATCAACAGGAAGAGTGAAGGTGAGACTGCCACACTAAATAACTTTTCACCTACAAGACAGGCTTTTTTCTCTTTTTGTACTCTTGAAAGGTGTTTGAAGTGGTTTTTTTCTATGTATATTTCAAAGTAATTTTGATTCATTCATTGTGAAAAATCAGTGTGTAGACTCCAGTTTTACCTGTCCTTAAGCCTTCTCTTTTTATTGCTTTTATCCCCACCTGTCACTCTCTTATCTTACCAGTATGGTTGAAGCAGGTAGGGCGTACGTACCAGCAACTTTCCAGTGCTCAAAGTCCTCGGTAGGCCTTACGCATGATTGTTCTTATCAAAGCCTAAAAGTTTTGTCCCTCAGAAGACATCTTTGCTATGACTAGTGCAGAGTGACAAGAGATACAGGCTTGCTTTTATAGGCACTTTGGCTTCTCTGTATGGAGGCAGGCAGCTGTAGAGACACCTGCGTTCTTTGCTGTTGAGCTCCATCTGTGAGGAGGGTAGGACAGCTTTCTGCAACAGTACCGTGGTACCTTTCTGCTTCTCCACTGCCTGTTAAATGTTATCTCTTCACCTGAGCAGTACTGGTACTGGCTGGTGAATTCACCCTGCAGCTGCAGATTGAGACTGTCTTTTCGCTTGGTGGCTGTGCTGGCCATTGCAGTGAACAAACTTGAAAATGCCGGTCCTGTCCTATTGCCACAGGACTCCAGCAGTGGTCTGTGCCTCCCCTCTAAGGGAACAGGCACCCTAGTCAACCCACACCAGCAGTTTTCATGTATCCTTGGGGATACTAAGTTATAAAGAAATCTCTTGTAACAGCTGTGAGGCATTACAAGAAAACAAATAATTGTTTGCTTACTTAATGGCCATCAGTCTTGATGGCGCTCCTGGTTCATTTATAGCTCAGGACTGAGATAAAGGTTAGTTCTGACCATGCAACAATAAGCTCTTATATGTGCCTAATACAGTTGCTTGGGAACACGATGCCAATATTTTCTGTGTTGACACCAGCACCTGTTCTGTCTCCTAAGCAGGGTGGCTTCCATGCAAATGACTCCTACGTGAGTGCTCGCATCAACTGGATTCCAGTTTACTTTGTAGAATTAAATGAGCACAACATAGAGTGGTTAAAGAGATTTTCACATTAATTGTAAAATGAGCATTTTGTCCACACAGATGTCAAATATTCCTTCTTGTCTTATGGATTACTGACTTTGATACTGCTTGTCACTGGGGCCAGAAGAGAGTGGTAATAACTTGAAATTGAGAGACGGTTGTTCATGCTATTGTGCATGGCAGCTATGGCAGCTGAAGTCATCACATGCAGTTCTTACTGTGCTTTCTGTGGCATTTTGTTATAGCCCAAATAAAGTTTGGTAAACACTAGTAAGAGTTTATAGGGGTACCTTACTCAAATGCACATCTGATTGTTTTTACATATTTCTCCTGCTGATTGCACAGGCACAATCCTCTAGTGTAAAATAATGATGGGGTTTAATGTGACGATGGATAAGTCATGTCTCAAATCTCCCTCTGTTCAGAGGGGATAAGGAAGCCACTGGTCCTGAATGTGTCCACTTCATTTGGAATATTACAGAAGACATGCTATTTTCAGCCTTTTCCCTGCTGAGTGGCACAGAGAAGGTATTTTGAATTTTGCAGAAAGTACTTATGTACGTTTCTAAACTGTTTTGTAAGCCTGCTCTGGGCTCCTGGCTGCCTCTGAAATAATGCTGCCAGGTAAACTATTGCAAGTACAACAGCAGCAGCAAACTACAGCTGGCTTTCCCCATAATAATTGCCTTGCTGAATGAAGACACACCTTTTCACACCCTGTGACTGAGTTGAGGAGGAAGAGGAAGACCACTTTTGCATGTGGGTAGGTTGCTGTGGTAATAAACACCTGAGCAAACTTTACTATATCCTATCTTGGCTGTAGCACTGCATATTGTGGCAGAGCCTACAAAGCCAAGACTTTAATAAAGTTTGTTTTTCCACCTCCACCCGGCCAAAATACATTCCTCAGTTCTCCCCCAAACCATCTTAATTTAAATAAATACAATGAAATCTCATGTAAATGATGGGACCTGTGTCTTCCGAAATGCATGACACTGTAAAATCCTGGTAGGGGAATATACCTTCTCTGAGTGACTCTGGTTTAAGCAACCATTAGTCCTACCCACAGCTGCTCAGATCCTGCGTCATCCCCTGCCTCAAGCTGCCACAACTTCTTTGTAGCTGGGTGATGAACTAATCGGGAACACAGATCCAGATGGAAAATAGCCCCAGGAAAAGGGGTGAGGGAGGGAGTTTTCTGCCAGATCAGTTCCTCCATCTCATCTCAAATTCGTGTGTTTACACCCTGCAGCAAGAATGGGAACAAAATCATCTGGGGAAGAGGGGCAATCAGGGTGGTGACTGTTTAAACCAGTTTTACCACCCTCAGTGAATGCCAAGCCATTGCTTCAAAAAAAGCTCCTCCCTAAGTCCCAGTGTAAGGAAATGGGGTGGTTGATTTTCCTCAACTCACGTCTTAATCTGTGTACTACTTGTTGCTGGGGCTTTGATGCTTGTCAGAAGTATGTCACCAATCTGTCCCTGCCTACGCCTCTCCCTGCTGTCACCACTGCTCTGCCTTTCAAGGAACTTTTGTGGTCTGACTTGCAGAATAAAGAGTTTCTTAGGAAATATCAGAGAGGAGGCAAGATGTAACACATGAATTGCCTATGTAATATGTGACTTCTCTGTGTGAGCACAAAGTCTTCCAAGTATTTCCCTCACATTTTATTCCTCTGCCAGATTGTGTTTGGGCTGGACACTTTGTGCAGCACTGGCATGGTGCTGCAATTTGACGTAGTAAATTGCTTAACAGTTTCATAACCTTTTCCTTTCACTACTGAATAGAAATGAAGGTCTTTGATCAGGAGGTTGCATCACAGGACCAGCTTTGTAAGGAAAAATAAAAGTTGGAAACGAGGTTACACTACTACGTTTCATCGCCACTTGTTTTTTACTAGACAGTCCTTCAGGGACACAGTGTGGCAGCGCTAAAGCCATAAGCTCTGCCAGCATCTGTCAGAGGGACATTAGTTTGTCCCCTGGCAGATGCTGTGGCAATGACTGTGTGAGACTGACACCGATTAGGTTGCACCACGGGGCTCCCGCCAGGCGTTTCCTGTGGCAGCGAGGGCCACAGGGTTGGGTATCACAGCAGCAGCAGTGATTGCTACTGATGGCTGTTGGGGCTTTTTCCAGGATAAGTCCTGTCCAAGCTTAGATGCCAGCAACTCCTGCTGTTTTGACATGAGCTTGATTAGACTGGTGCTACAGAGGATCACTAGACAGTACGTGTGTGCCAGAGGCCATTGCTAACAGACAGGATAATAACATCTCTTCCAGAGGCTGATCCAGAGGTATGACAAGCAGGTGTTTTGGTGTCCAGTTCCTCAGCCATCAGAGCACGGTGGTTTGTTACAGCAACCTTCACAGGTCCTTGGCAGGCATTGCCTTGGCTCTGGCCTCTCTGTGTGCAGTGTAAAGCAGGACAGAGCCTGGTTTGAGACAAATGTCAGCTCCACACTGCTTGCCACCTTCCAGAGGGGCTTTTGTCTCCCTCTCAGCCCTTCTCTTCATTGGCCTGAGGGATCGGTCTCCTTTCAAACCTGTAGATCCGGAGTTTCCAGCCCAAAAGCTACACCTCTCAGTGGGATCGAGGGACTGGCAGATGCAACTCAATTTGGGGTCCTGACCAGTCTGCCGGTTGGGCATTAGCCCAGGGGAAGCAGGAGTGAGGGTGAAGGTGGTGGCTGACCTCCCCTTCCCATTTGCCTTGCCTCTGCTTCCCACTGCCCCTGCAGTGCACAGAGGGAAGGGGTCCAGTGAAAGCGTGGCAGTGCCCTGTCACACTCGGGCGTCCCTCTGCTAGAAAGGATGCAATTCCCTCTTCGGGGTGCCGGCACCCACGGCCGTGCGGCGGGGCGAGGAGGGTGCCCTGAAGCAGGAAAGGATCCGTGAATGGTTGCGGTTTGGGGCTGGCCCTGAAAGCGGCCCCGCCAGGCGTGCTTGAACACAAGGCAGGTGAATGCAAACGCTGCCTGGGGCGCCACCTTCCCGGGGGTGGAGCTGCTCCGGCACAGGTGGCAGGGCTGAGCCCGGGGCCCTGCGGAGCCTGGGGAGCCTTGCTCCAAAACCAAGCCTAAAGCAACCAGCCTTCACCTGGGCGGTGAGTTCACCTCCCTGAAAATCAAGCTGTTGCCCACCCTGCCACCACCACCACCACCAAGCAAGGCTGTTCGTGGCGAGCATGGACTGTCCGGGGAAGGAAGGCGTGGGGGGAAGGAAGAGGAATTTGGCCCTGCTGAGGAACAAGCTGTACATGGGGGAGAGGAGGAGGACAGAGCCCGTGGTGGAGAGCACCACCACCGCCGGGGACCATGGCACCTTGAGGAGGAGTCAGTCCGACAGGACAGAGTACAGCCAGAAATTACAAGGTACTGGGGAAGCCTGTTTGGTGCTCTGCTGCTAGGGATGCTCTGAACTGGGGTGGTATCTCAGTGCCCTCCAGGCTGCAGCCTTGAGATAAAGAAGGAAATGGTCATCTCTGCTCCCATGCACTCACAGTCGGAATAAGCAATGGCCCCTCTCACGTTTGCCCCTCACCTCCAGGGTGGGAAATGTTTCCCCTAATTTTTCTAAATAGTGTTGTGTAGACAGGACACAAAATATAATCCAAGGTTTTGCTGAGTTCTGCAAAACGCATATGCAACCAAGATCTTTCTCGTTCATCACCAGAATGCATTTGCAGCACAAACTGTTATGTGAAAATAGAATGCCTCTGTCCTATCTGTCGTTGGCTGTTGTACCAAGTGGATTTTATGCCAAGTCGATAGACGCATCAAGGACATTTTTTTTCTCAGTTAAAAATATCAGGATTTATAATGTGTTTATCTGCTGCATGGTTTGTACAAGCCTGAACTAAGTATGTCCAAATACATGTTTGGATGGATATACTGATTCAAATTATACCATTATGGAGAGGGTTTCTTTTCAAATAACCAGATTGCATCTGGACTACAAATTGTAGTAAAGTATGCCAGTATTGGGCTTGTCAATCAAAAATTAAATGTGATGCCACAAATTGAGGAAAAGCATGAAGAATGTGAATGGCTATTTCTGAGAGTGCTCTGGAACACGAACCAATGAATTCCTGTGGGTTTCCAGGGTCTTTTAACAACAGGGTCCCATCACAAATGCAGGGTTTGAGTATTATTATGCTGTGTGTATTACTAATAGTCATATAACTACCTAGTGACAGTTACTCTTGCGACCATAATCCTTTATGGGGAAATAAAATAGAAAAATACTTGTATTGTGGTTTTGATGCACTTAATTAGGAAGTAGCATTGCTTCAGAAAGACAACAAAAGCAGAAAATAAAGTAATAAGCCTGAAAATAATAAGTTTTCTATGGGGGCTGCATATGCTGAGAACAACAGAGCGGTTCATCAATTATGCTGTTCCCTCCTCTTGATAGCTAATCAATGAGGAGATGAAAAATATTCGGTTAAGTCAGGCCTGTGCTTCAGGGATCTGGTGGGGGTGTTTCAGGGCACAGGCATGGATTGCTGTGGCTGAGCAGGCAAGCTCCTGGCAAACGTCCTACCAAAACAGTTTGTAACTCGTGAACGGGGTTGTCCAGGTGAGGTCAAGGTTATCAGAGCAGTATCCAGCAAAAAGTGTGAGATCTTTCTGTCTCATGATGGCTGTATTCATGCCATGAATGTCTCCTGTTTAAAATCTGAAGCAAAGGAGGTGGGGAAGCCTAGGAAGTCATGGCAGAATGTGAGGTTATGTTTATGGCAGCATTCCAAGGAGACGGTAAATCCAGCTTTACAGCTCCTACCACCAGCTGAGACTGCCGCGGCCACATATTGCAAAGCACTGGTCCGGTATCGGCTCACTCCACTTGCTTCCTTTTGTTCAAGAAAAACGATGATGGGTTAACAAGGTACCTGCAGGCTTTATATTGGATTAGAGGTTGCCTGTCCTCAGAGTGAAAATACAAAGGCAGTAGAAATTCCCATGAAGTGTATTTACAGTTGCCATAGAAAGAAATGCAGCTGTGTGCCAAGGCCTGACCTGGATCAAATTTTCCTGAGCTAGATGTGCCTGAATCTGATAACGATCACGGATCCCGGACCTAACTTGCTGCTATGATCCTACACCTTTATTTTCTTCGTTTTTCTCAGTAGTACTTGAATGCAAAGCAGCTCACTTCAGGGTGGGGGAAGTGGTTTTGTTGGCACAAAGCTTTTGAGTTTTCCATTCCTGTTAAGAAAACCCCGGCTCTGTTGGTGACAAGTAGTCTGTTGTGTATCACCAGGTCAGGACTTTCTGATCACCCATGAATGGTAAATGCTTTGTAAAAGAAAAAAACAAATGGTAATTTACACTTGCTTCCCATACAAATTGCGGGAAAAATTCAGTGTTTAGTTGCCACTCCCTCCTATAGTCTCCTGTTAATATGTTCTCTAACACATAGTCTGCAGAGCTGGGGTTGGTATTAGCACAGACAAGGAGGTGTAAGAGAAAGAGATGCAACAGCAGCAAACTCTGCAGAAGGGAATCTTTTCTGAGTGGGGCAGGTTTCCACAGCTGAAAGTCAGGGGCTTCAGGACCCTCACCTCTGCTAGTGGCAGGCAACCTTGGCAGAGCAGGAGAACCAAGGTGTCCTTACACATCCTAGTGCCTACTTCAGCATTGCAGTACATTTGTGCAAGGTGAAGCATGGGCAAGACATCTCTCAAGGGCCCTTCCAGCCCTTTGTGTGCTTTAAAAGGTTCCCTGAGTAAGAACTAGGCTGTTGTCCCCTATAGCCATTTCCAGCAGCTCTGAAGTATATGTTCAAAGTACTGCTTAGTGTGTTGGAAAGATAGGTCCCCAAATAAAAGCCTTTAAACCAAACCAAACCCAAACAAAAACAAGAGAGCAAGAAGACAAGCATAAAAACTCCTGAGAATTCAGTTTCTGCCCTTGGATTTTACTGAAGTTTTGCTATTTTATGCAGAATCCAAAATGTTTTCTATAAAGAGTGAGAAAGAGAGCCTACTACCCAGATCTCCAGGGTAATCCAGGTGGTTTGCTCTGTCAGTCTACAAACACAAGTACAAAGGCGTTGTCAAAGGTGAAAACTTCTGCAAGTGTTTTTCACTTTAAAATTAAGGAATCATTAGAATACAAGAAAGCATTTTCATAGTTAATTACTATACTAGATACATCTATTCAATACCTTATCTGGTGTGAATGGCCATGCAACACCTCCCGACTTTTCTCTTTTTAAAAAGGAAATAAGATGCAAAGTAACTATTATATTCTCAAGGAGCTTGGCAAGCATTAGTGCCTCTATTTCAGCTCATCCTGTGAGATAAACAAATGCCTGCAGACCCATTTTAGATAGAGGAAAATAAGGTGATTGCTACCAAATGTCAGGTTGATGATACAACCATGCAGGCATTTAGAACCCAGGTTGTAGTTGCAGTCTTAGGTGAGTCCAGGAATACCTTGATCGAGCCATATACATTTTTTTTCTTCCATTAGCTGTTTTCTGAAGAGGAAAGAATGGGGTTAAGGAAGATATATTTACTAGCATTTGTGGTGGATGCAGAAATAGTATTACAAGAGCTAAGACAGAGCTCCTGTGACATTTCTATGCATTTCTCTGCTCTGCATTCGCTAGAAAATTCTGCACATTTGTATTTTCCAGGGGCATGAAGAACTAACTGGTCTCCATAAGCAGTGGCATGAAGTGGTATTTAGCACCTCTATATTCAAATGTATTATCTATAGCTGTTTAGTTGGTAAGAGTTGTTCTCTTTTCTACAGAGGAAATCCGTCAGCAGCAGCTTTAAAAGTAGCTATATTAATATTTATGTATTATATTAACGTTGGGATCAGTCTTTGAATTAATCTAAAGCTTCCAGTCTGTAAGTACCTATGTATTTTGTTAAAGGGGGTTTGCTTGATGTAGTTACTGGCACATAAATGTTTGCAAGATCAGGGCAGATTAACATACAATGTGCCATGGGGATAGATACTAATAAACAAAAAGGGCAGACCACAAAAAGGAATTTAAAGCATAGTTCACTGTCTGTTAGGTTTTGGACAGATTGCTGGTTTTTGGTAATAGCCATATGCCAAACTTGTGCTTGCTGCGAAAAATGAACGGTAGAAAATGGTGGGTTTCCTGAAGGAATCAAAGATCACATTTGTAGTGTTCAGCAAGACAGTGCCTGCCTTGATAATACTCCTTGTCTTACAGATTATTACATATTAACTCCTTTATAACTGTAGCTGTGTATGGGTCAACTGCCCTGGTAAATGATTTACACACATTTCAATTTAAAATGCATCAGTGACATACCTGTAATAGACAGTGATTCAAATCACACAGCTATCATAGTATACTGCCTCAGAGCTTGTATCTGAATCCAGAATGCCATGTGTTTTCTGTGTCTAATGTAGTTATGAGAAATAACCAACTCCAGAAATGATGCAGAAACCTGTGAAATTATACAAATTCCTGAAAAGGTGCTATCCCTTGGTATACAAAAGCCCAGTCAGAGGCAACTCATCCCCCTTTGCTCCTTCTCGAGCCGGGCAACTTTCTCCATCCCATCCTCCTCCCTGCTTGCAGAGCTCACCACTCCTTCCTGCAAGGGCTGCTCATGCACTCAGCTTCTGGTACCTCCCACTAGAAGTAAAGATCCTCTGTGCCTCTTTTCAGTTCCTTATTTGCTTTGTGCTGTACTTACCGATTAATTTTCTATGGATTGCAATGTAGATAATGAAATATCCTATTTCACTGCAAAATGTATGCATCCAATGATCTTTGGAGCAGCTGGTTTACTAAAGTACAGTAAGGAGTAAAAGTCCGGATTATTTCCTGAAGCGCAGGAGATGGTTCAATGAAAATACTCCCTTGTGCCCTGTGATGAGAAGTCATGATCTAACAAATACTTTTATTTTCTCCCATGCAAATTTGAGCTTGGAGAATCTTATTCTGCTAACTTACTCTGCAATAAAGCTGGAGTTATTCCTTGAACTTATTGCAGTGGCAGTCAAACTAGGAAATGAGCTCATCTTTTCAGAGCAGAATCCATTTTGTGCCACTGTGTTTGCACAGCACTTAGCACAATAAGCCATGCCGTGTGGCTCAGGACTCTTAGGAGCTACCACAGCATAACTAGTAACAGCAGCCTGGGTAAAGGAGTGAAGACTAGGACCCAAGGAGGCTTACGGATCCTCCTCTGAGCATATTATCAAACATTTTATTAATTGGGATACTTTGCATTGTGGGCCACACAGCTCACAGCTTGTACACCTAATCCACCCCAAATCTTGAGGCATGTGTGTCCCAGGGGAAGAGGTTCAGATATAACCCTTCCTCAGTTCTTACTTTATTAACATACTAGCTCAGTGCTGCAGGAGTGGTATATTTGTGCTGGTATATGACACACTGGAAAGGTTTATTTGTAAGTATTGGCACTAACAATGAGGGCATTCTTCTGTCACCTGATGATAAGCTTTCTTCCCTTCCACACTGGTCACATGGGAGCTCTCTGTAGTCCTGTCAGCACACACATAATTAAAGCAGTCTGCTGTCAAGGAATTGAAGAAAGAACCTGCGCATTGAATGTAAATATTTTCTGTACTTTATGGAACAGAAAAATGATCAAAGATCAAATGACCTAATTGCAAGGAAGTCTCTGATGCAGATTTTATAAGCAAACCTGTTGCCCAGGAATACAGGTGCAAGGTCATTCTGGTCCTGCAGTGCTTTCTTGCTGGGTTCAGAAAAGGGGCTTTTTGCATGTGTAGCTCACAGCCTGTACACAACAAACCTGTTTCTGAACAATGCTGCTGTTATATACCTCTCTGAGTCAGAAAAAAAAGAGGTTTTCCACAAACCTCTCCCAGTCCTTTCCTATTTCAATGCCCAACTTAGAGTTCAGCAGTGTAATTCACACCGTGTTTGCACTGTAACAACTCCAGTGCGAAACTGTAAGGACATCCCTTATGAAGTGATCCCTCACAAGGGGAGGGGCATCTGAAGTAAAATTCCTTGTGTGTTGGCTCATGTGATGCACTTCTGTTGTGCACAGTGGGACACTTCATCCTTCCCTACTGCTTGTCCTATTTCAGGCTCCCTCACTTCCAAGGATCCCAGTGTCCCTGTGGCCCGCAGCCTTCCCAGCATCTCCAGCAGAAGCAGGGGTGTAGAGGGCAGAGATGGAGAGATGGTGTGAGGAGGGAGAGGAAAACTACCACAGCAGCAGTCTCTAAACTTGGCTGCCTGCATTTCATTCCCAAATCCAGCTGATAAAAGCCGGTGTACATTCCTGTGTGTAATAGTTAGGTTATCTGAGGGTACAGGCTATCTGAGGACTTGCTTTCACAGACGAATAACTTTATCCAGGGTGATACGAGCCCCATGCTTTACACGTGGAAACACAGTAATGCTATAATTTGTTTGTTATACGTTGATAACTTGTGCCTTCACCACTCCCTTGTGCCAGGTAAAATCCCCATATCTGTGCGGTGCAAGTGTGGCATCCTCCGAATGCTGCCTAAGGAATGGAAAGGCCTGTTAGTCACTCCATTCACTGACATCACCATATTAATTCTTGTATTTTGTGCCAGTACCATCATTTCCACATGGGAAGCATTCGATAGGGAGAAACCTGGGTTCCCTCCCCAAGGGTGGATGTAATACCCAACCAGACCATCTTACCTGGAAGGATGGATAGAGAAGACCTCTCGAAGCTTCTCACTCTCTAGGTGTGGAAACCAGGGAAATTTGCATGCATAGGTCTTGCAAACCTCCTATGGCTGTTCCTTCAGTCACTTGCTGTGAGTCTGCCAGTACCTCCTCTGAGCCTAGAGAAGGGCTGCTGCATTTGCACATAGCAAGCTCTGTTCCTCCATGCTCTCGCTGCATTGTGGCATGTCTCCATCTGGGGGATATCTTTAGACTTCACACTTGCAAGAAACTGCTTTTGTAAGACATGTGGCTGCTTTGTTCATGCCATCACATAGTGAACCTCTTGTTGAGTGCAACTTAAAGCCATGTACTTCAATGTGCAGCTGGAAAAACCAAAGGCATCACCTTCCTCTCCAAAGCAAAGTCCTCCAGAAAGGTGACTCCTGCAGATAGCTGACATCACAGAGCAACAATTCAAACATTGCATTCTACTTTTTATTTTTATGCCTACTAAAAGTGCCACCTAGTTTTTTGTAAACTGGGCTTAAGGTGCGACTGTTTAATATATCATTCAATGGACTATTTTTTCATTTTTCTCAACCTGGAATCTCTAAGGACAAATGAGTCAAATTCTTAATGTAATAGTTAATCCTCAGTGATATCTCTTCCTGCTAATCCTCTCTCTTCAACTGTTCCAGGGCTGGTACACATTACCAGGTAGAAATGAATGTGCTTATATTCCAGATATGCACTTGCTGTTTGCGCATTCATTAAACTTTCACTTACTCCACAAGGATTTCAGCAAGATACTAATGTTCTCAAACTGGTCAAAAGCAATCAGCTGAACATGAAATCATACGTTTGGGCTGTAATCATCACTTCAGGATCTTGCTGTTGCATTCTGTAGAGACAGATATGCCTGAAATGAAAAACTGAACATATTGAGTGAAAATGGAAAATTATATTACATTTAACAAAAGGAAACATTTATTAAAAAACATGTTTTCTATAAGGAAACAGCATCTAACTGATATTTGTCATGATTATTTCTTCCTGTTGAGGATAGCTTTTCTTTCCTCACATTATTATCTATCATGCAATAAAGATAATAGATGAGCCCTGACATAATTCAAGAATCAAATTTGATCAGGGAGATCTAATGGCATAAACTGAAAGAACAGCCTCTCAAGGGATTGTGACTTCCAGCCTGAAGTCACATGCCCTCCCCTGTCACCAGAATAAGAGATTAGAAAGTTCTTTTGTACACCATCTCGTGCTTACCTTAAAATTCCATCTGATACCATAACGGTTCCGTATCAGAGAGCAATCTGAGATCTTCCAGGATGTCTGGTTCTCTCTGCACTTTCTCAGGAGCTGCCCCAAACTCTCACATACAGCTACATGCATGCAGCCAATCTCAAGAAAAGTCCTGATTTTGGTGCAGAACTGGAATAGAAATGTATTGTTCACGTGGTTCCTTGTGAATTTATAAGTGTGGTTACATACTATGAGGTTTTGGAGGAAAAAGTATCTGCTGGTTTAGCACATCAGCAGCAGGCAAGGTGGTCTCATTCTGCAACCCTAGCAGAAACTTTCTCAGAGGGAGCTGTGAAGTGATACTGGTACCAGTTTTGCTCTCCTCACTAACGTAAGGGCAGAGTTTGTTTTATCCAGCACACAGCACCTTTGGTGTATGAGCTCTGCAGCAGCACAAGCTCCTGTGCAGTTCATGCACTCACACCAGCACAGACTCACTGGGGCAAAATTCAGCTTAAAATTCTTTTGATATCCAAGACCTTGTGGAGGGGAGACATCCTCTTCATGTTTCCATTTTATTGTCTGAGGACAAACTGTTCATGCCTATTATATACAGACTTCAAGGCTAAAAACTCAGACCTGAAAAGTACATCTAAACACAAAAAGGTTTTAAAAAAATCAGCCCGCCCCTGCCCCAGTTTCTTTGGGTTCTTTGTCCTCACTGTTTAAAACTAGTGGTATAGAGATAGAGATGCAGTCTCAGAGCAGCTATTTGAAAAGAACTGTGGTCACATCAGTCTCACTACAAAACCTGGTGAGAGAAGCATTAATAACAAACCTGTCTTTTCTGAATATCAGTGGTCAGCATAATTGTAGAAAGGAAGATGATACATTGGATTTATTATATTTTACACCTCTTGTCGGAAGATGGCTCGAGGCTCTCTGTCCTGAAAGCTGATTGGCTTTCCCACAAGTCCAGCTCCAGGTTATCATCTACAGCCTTGGCCGGTGTTGTACTGGTGAGCTCATGCTGTTCAATGCTCACTTGAGTGCTCATGACCTCACCCTCGACCATCAGTTCAAACAACTGCAGTATTGGCTGTCAGTGAGCAAAGCACCTGATACTGCTTGCTGTTTCCTCATTATTCGTTCCACTCCCTACAAGAAGTTGACACAAAGGTGTAGCAGTCTGATCCTCAGCGGAGATTCCCATCCTTTGCCGCTGAGTGATAAAAGCCCATGTAGTCAAAGCTCGACCTGGGTAATGCAGACTTGAGCAACTAATGATATGTGCATCTTTGTTGGTACTCTGCACCATCTTGTGGCTAGCAGAAAAACACCAGAATAGCCTCTGAAGTATTTCACTTTTTTTTTTAATGTTTTGGTTTTGTGTGTGTATGTGTGTTTCCTCATGAAAAATACAGATTAGATTGTCAACGTACAGAGATAAAACTCAGTGCCCTTTTTAGACCTGACATGGATCTCTGCAGGTTGGCTTACAAACCAGAAAATGGGAAAACCATCATTACAGATAAGTAGGTTGTGTGTAGGTCCTGTAGTGTATGTAAATTACCCATCTGTAGAAAACTAGCTTGCATTTTCATGTGTTTGAAACAAATCAGATATTCTAGGTGCTAAGTATTAAAAAACAGTTAAGAATGTCCTGATCTCAATGATCTCTGTTGTTCCAAGAAACGTTTGTTATTGATCATTAAAGGTTTTCTCATATTGTCCTTTAATTATTTTTAAACAGAATTAGAGGATTCATCATTATTGTTACTAACATTGCCTTCATTTGAAAGTTTGTCTTCCAGTACTTGCTGCCCTCAATTTCCCATGAATAGACTCAATGTTACACTGTACGAAACAAAAGTTATTATTGTGAAGCTTTTTTATGGTAGGCAGCCTTTTTCTTTCACAGAACATATTTTTCCCGTCCTCCAAATCATAATAGATGTCAGACCAAGACTGTGTTTTCAAAGGAGTAGAAGGGCATCAGCTATCCTTGAATTTCAGTGTAACAAAGATCAGGCTTTCCTGGGCTCCACAGAAAATTTCTGCCCAATACATAACATCTAAGCTGGGGGAGCTGGTGATGGGTTATCCTCTTAATGCCAAAGGGGCAGTTTCCTTCCCCAAATCCATGTCCACTTTTAGAGGAAGGAGATGGAATGACACTCAGTCTGATTTGGGTTTGCCACTTCTTATGCTTCTTTTCCTGCTCTCCATGGTGATTTGGGAATTTCCAGCAGGCACCAGATATGTTTCCCCACCCATGGTTGTGCAGGGCAAGCTTTGTGCACTCTTATGAATTTCTCTCTCTTTTAAACAGAAAAAATGACCCCACAGGTGGCCACCTCGCCACAGGAGGATGAAGAACAAGTCAGTAGACGCATGATGGCCAAGAGGGTGAAAATCATCGCAGAACTCATGCAGACGGAGAAAGACTATATCAGCAACTTGGACCTTTGCATCAAGGAAGTGATTCAGCCCCTGAGAAACAAGCAGGTGAGTGCTGGGGGTGGAGGACAAGGCAGTGATGTCAAGGTCTCAACTCACCCACGTTCTTTTGGACAGTCTTAATGCAAACACAAGTGCCAGCACGAGAGTGACGTGGTGCTGGAGCTGGCGCTCCACAAAGTGATATGTCAGGGCTCTGGTGAGGAGAGAGGAAGGTCAGATATGCTCCTGACACTTGTGCTGCCCTTGCATAAAGCCTGCATTGAGGTACTCGCCCAGAGGCCAGCTTGGATGCTATATACCTTCCTGTGGGCTGCAACAGCAGCTTCCAGCTCTCCGTACCGCTCTGTAGTTATAACTTTTCTTACATGCCCTGGCAGACCTTTACCGGTACCTCGAAAAGCAGCAACAACTAATAAAACCAAGATTTTTTCTACAATAGAAACTGGAATGGAATGAACCTCTGCATCAAGTTTAAATTCAGTTGTTAGGATAACTTTATCCATCCTTTCAGACAGCTGTGGTGGATAAACACCATGCTTGAGAGGCCATCGAGCACTTGGGAAATTTGCACTCTACATGGAAAAGGTACATTTAAGAAGGAAGGCTCATAAACTATCTTTCAGGCAAAAGATCTCATTAGGCCAATGATAGCCATTTTCTTTTTTAGCTGAGACTTCAAAGAGCACCTTTTCCTCAACAGTATTTCAATTTGTAGGAAAATGGTGAAGCTGAAAGCTGGGAATAGAAGAGATTGTGAAGAGAAAGATTTGTATTTTTGGGGCCTGAAATATAGCATTCAGAGAGGCTACACTAATTATATCTGCTGCAAATATGGAATAAAAATAATTTTAAATAGACTTTAACCCAGGTTCTCTTTATGTAGAGTTTCTTATGAAACTGGTGATAAAATACAGGTGCAGAGGCCAAAGTGTCTTTAGATGACATTGACAATGCCTCTTTGGGAAACGCTGTGGTCAGCTGAACTCTGTGCTGTTTAAACTCCTGCAGGACCTTTTTTTCATTCCTAAAACTCTGTCGGAATTTGTTCCAACCCATTTTCGGAAGAATAACCCATTTTCAGAAGAGCTGGCCTCTGATGACATAACTTTAAGGAGTTCTTGACTTCTTCCTCCTCACTTGTTCATCTACTTAGTAGTCTCCACTTGACTCCCTCCCCAGCCTGGCCAGCACTGAACAAGAGTATTGCCTGGCTGAACTTGAGATTTTTGACAAATGTGCTGTATTCTTTTGCTCATTTTCAGTCAACTGAAACCATTCATTTTGTGTTAACCTGTGTAAGTGTCCATGCACAGCATAGTTTGGATATATGTAGACATTGTTCTGGGGAGCAGGTCAGAAGTCCTGTGCTAGATGTATACAGGAAAAGTAATGTAGAGATTATAACTCTCTTAATGTAATAATGTCTGCATTTTTGAAAGGTTTTTAAGAATGTCATATGGTTTTAAGGCTAGTTCTCAGATAAACTACCATATTGAAAGTTTGTAATGTGTTTAGAGAAGGATAGCTTTTAGAAAATTGGCCTAACAATGAATTTGTTTCACATTTCCAAATGGATAAAGTATGTTTTAGCCCCTATAATATTTCTAAAGAAATTAACTGCATTAGTATTGGAAGTATTTTTCTGGTTCTGTTACAATAGCATGCAATTTGATCCTTCTGGCATCTGCTAAGCTGCTATGTAAATCAGCAATTCTGTTCCAAATGGAGAGGTAGGTTTTGAGGGTATTAATATGGATGATGAAAGTGGTCTTGTCTTTGTTCTCAATATTAGCAAATTACCGCTGGCTATCTCCAGTTGTCCCCAGATAGTAACTATTGCCCTGCTGTGCAACGAAAAATATGTGTCCTGGAAATTTTTTACTTCCTCTAAAATGAGTAGGGACACAGTACCAAATTTTCTGTTGGTATAAATTGATACAGTTCATTGAAGTCCATGTTGTGTGCCTAGGCTCTGTAGGAAGCTCGTTAGGTTATATCAATACGCAAAATGGTAAATGTGTTTGTTTTAGTGGAAATTATATGATCTTGATTGTATTCTTGGATTTATAGGACAACTAACTTAAAATCATACTGGCTTTCTAGAAGTCATTGTACCTGTTAGCTGGCACCAAAGTGCCAAGGTCTGAGTTTATGTAACAGCCTCTGTTAGTGAGTGGTAATCAGGCAATAAAACCCATTGTCAACTATTGTTTTTCTCAGTGGGAAAGTAAACAAACATTTCAAAGCCAGCTAAGGATCTTTTCTTTATTCAGACGATAATATTTATTTCCTTCCCAGGTAAACACTTTCAGATTAGGGATAGTTCAAAATAAAGGTTAAAAGCACTTGATAACATACCCTTTGTTAACTGCGTCAACCGTATTATACTAATCTGAAAACTGTATATGCGTCCTTGAAATCACAAGGAGGATGTTTATATGAGGTTTTGCAGAAGTGGTGCTTCCTGGAGTGTTGAACAGTTAGGGCATAGCAAGAGAAGGTCTCTAATACACAATGTCCTTCTTTATCCTTTGTCAGTAGCTGCTTAATATTTGTATTCCACTAGATTGCTCGCTTTGACGTGGATGGCTTGTTTAGCAACATTGAATTGGTCCATCAAGTATCAGCCAAACTGCTGTCATTGTTGGAAGAAGCCACAACAGATGTGGAGCCACCCATGCAAATAATCGGTATGTTTACCGTCCTCTTGAGTTCTACAAAGCTACGTGAAAGAATAAACATAACTCTCTCCTGTCCTCCACTCTCATCAGACTTGACTTCCTCCCCAGTATCCCTCCCAGAAGCTGGCATACTAGAAGCTGTCCATAATGACACAGGAAAAATGACATGTGAAACCTGTCCAGTTGTTTTACTGTACTTGTAGGATTATGATGCTCTTTTTTCCATCCATCTGGATGTTGAAGGGGAGGAAGGAAAGAGAAAATGAGTTTAGAATGAGTAAAACCTGCAGCACTGAGTTATACAACTTACTGATAAGATCCTTTTCGTTGAGTTTGATATTGCCTTCCTAAATCCACTCATGCTTATACCAACTCTTGTAATGCATACCCATTGTTATGCCATTCAGGAAAAGCATTAAAAATGATTGGAATAACAAGCATGTCATATGACACTACCACCCCCACCCCAACACTGTAAACATGTATCCACTGAAGACACAGTTCATGTAAGAGGTGGTTAAGTGCGCTTAGTAGGGACTTGGACAGTAAAGAGAGCTGTAATGAATCTGAAGTTTGTGGGATTCTGTGTAGGAATGTCTGTAGGGATTACGGGTATTTTCAGCAAACGGGTTGGCCCTGGATATGTCACAGCAGTCACAAGTTCTATGGGCCAGGCCATGAATGTTAAGGCTATGATTCACTTGACATTCTGGTGCAGCTAGAGAGATTTAAGAAGTTACCACTCATTAGGTCTCCTATAACTGCTTCTTCAGTGCAGAGGCCGTAAGTGAGCCATCTTAAGGGATCAGGTGAGAATATTTAATTTACTTTAGTGAAAAGTCAGACAGTTTAGTTTAAAAAACTTCCAGCTGTGATTCAGAGGTTAGGGAGGTTCTTTCTTCCCTAAACTGACCACATACCACAGGTAACACATTATAGAAAGTACCCCTCTTCTCATGAATAAGGGGGTAAAAAATATTGGTTGCCACTTGACTAGGAAACATGATATTAAAGCGTATGAGGCTTGGGAAAAGTATTAATCCTAGCACGTCTCAATCAGGTTTGCCAAGGCAACAGCTTAACGTAGTTTGACACGTCTGTTGTTTGGCGGTATTTCAGTGAAAGTGCATCATGATGAGTCATACTCTTAATAAGCAATGTTCTATTCTAGCAGGAAGTGCCTTTCTCACAGCCAAGAGAATCATCCTATTAGTTCCCTGTCACATCCAGAAGTAAAGACAAACAATTTCATCCATCTATTAAGTGTATTTCTCCAGAATCAGACAAAGAACCATGAAAATGTATGGTATTGTGGATCACAGAGTTGGCTAAGCTGTGGCAGGGAAAAAGCTGTCAAATAAGGTGTGAGACATTCTTTCAAAGGCTGAGACAAAAGCAGGGAGAATAACTGCATCACTATAAGCAGTAAGTTAGTAGGTTTATTGTCCTGTAAAACTACATCAAGGTAATTCTTGGGGGGGATCTTAACAATCAGTGTAAAAGTTGTTGAAGCCAGCCTATAGTAAAACCAGGCCAAGAATGTTTTAACACATCCATCATATTCCCTCATGTTTAATGTTTTTAAATATCTTGCATTGAAGTATCATACTTTGGAAGGCAACCCAATCATGGTGAGATTGAGGAGAACTGCTAATACAGTGCTTTGAAACCAAAACAATGTGGTTGCTTATATTCATGTCTTATTTTAGTCTATGTTCTCCACACTTAGGCTATGTCCACACTGACAAGTATTAATGTCCAATAGGAGCAGACTTGCAGATTTAAAGAGTTTCTGCTAAGGAGCTGGTATCCATACTAACATTTCAAGAGGCCTTACTTCAGACTGGCTGTAGCCTTTTCCTGTGGTTTGAGAGATGCCCTTTGTGGTTGGACTGCATAAAATGTGCCCTTGGAGTGTGTCTTCTGGTAATCACCATCCCCAAAGAGATCCAGTTTGTGTCTCTGTGACTGCTCCACCACACATACAAGGCATGGGAGATGAGGACTAATGAGTGATTGGCTTCAGAAACCCTCTCCTAATCTGAGCTAAAGTACTAATGTAGGCAGACTTTTTGTGGTGCTTGGTCTTCTGATGCTAAATGCCTCTGAGGTTAAATACCCTTTACAGTTCTCCCCTGAATTTTTTCTCCTCCCTGTTTTGGAGGCTGTATATAGAGGAATATGAAGACTTAGTAACCTTGACTCAGCTGTAGCTATTAAACCCCCTCTTCTTCCCTCTCCTGCTGCTATCCACACAGGAAGCGCCACTGAAAGCCATGGGGAGAAACTGTTTCTGTTACTCAAGCCTTCCTCCTAGGATTTTGTCTTTCACACTGATGACCACCATACTCCAGAAGAGGCATCAGGCAGATTTGCATCTGTCAGAGTATTTTTAAATTTGTGCCCAAATACGGTGTGGTTTTGGTCCATAAAGCAAGCTCCCACAGTGATATGCCCAAAACTCATCTGATTCGGTCCATATGGCTCAGAACCAAGAAGGGCTTTAGGCTTAAGAAATCCATCTGCTTTTAAAAGGCCCTATCCATGAAATCAGCACATAATTTTTCTCATCACTGAGCATCAATGAAAGTATCTGTCATTGTGGCACAATACTTCAGTGAACAGAACTCGCTCATCTCTTTCATCTTGGGGAAGATAATTTCCAGCCTCTAGTATATACTGAAAGGAGCTGTAAGTCTACAGCTTGCATTTTTTCCACTGAAAACGGAACCTCGCTTGAGTGCTTAGCATAGTACAGGCCATGCCAAGCACTGTGAGAGCTCATCATCTCTGAGAATCAAGCACCAAGTGCTCAGGATCAAGAGAAAGCTTGTTAAGGTTTCCTGTTACATCGTTAGCTAATAAAGACCTGCATAGAGAGTTCATGGGAAAGTCAGGATGCAATTTGCATTGGTAGCATTCAACATTAGCGGTAAGCACAAGACAGAGAAGACAGCTAAAGAGCATTAACTATAGGATGCTGGTGCTTTTCTAACTGTGCCCTTACAGTAACTGAAATGAACTCTGGTGGTCTTAGCTCTTCATTGTTTTTCCCTTATTCACACCCTGAAACCAACATGCATTAGACAGCCCAGTTAACCTTCGCTGCCAGGGGGAAAAACCCAGAGCTGTGTTACTGTGGTAACTGAATCATTTTTCACTTTAAGACGGAGCAGTTCAATGCAATGTATTATGAAACAGCGCACTCTGGTCAGGATGGAACATGCAGGATGCATGACAGCTCAGCGCTTGCTCTGTGGATGAATAGAGAGCTCCCAATTAATGTGGTGTTCAGCTTTTAACTTTAATAACCATTGCTATAACTCAAAAGGAATGTCTATAAAATGTTGGACTTGTTGCCACATAGATGTAATTTTCAGTAAATGCCCAAGACAGGAGTTTCTAGCATTGCTGTTTTTTATTATATGCATTTCCAAGGACTCTGATCAGGGCACTGCTACGTGAGGGCATAAGAACCAAACTAATATCTCAGCAGAAGAGCTGAAGCGTGCCTTCTCCGCCTGGATAGCATTTCTTACGTACATAGAAACTGACACAGGAGTCTTAAACTGAGAGAATTAGGCTCCAGAATTAAATGGAAAATGAGTGTAGGACTACTTTAGTGCCTCTAAAATTCCCACCTGTTCTTTGGGGGAAAATGGTGGTGTGGATGACTTGAAATGGAAGTGTTTTCCCTCTTCAGTTGCATATAAGCCTAGATACTATATAAAAATGGCTGTAATCCATTGTGGGTTTACTTAATGAGGGGAGAGGTGGAGATTGTCCCTCTGTCATGAGAAGAAAATTCTCTATTCTAGGCTATAACAATTGCCATTTCAGGATTTTGCAAAACAGATAAAATTGAAATGGCTAATATAAGATAGAGTCATTATTCCTGTTATAACCAAATTAAGTTCATATTCAGTTGAAAAAAAAGTCAAAAGGAAAACTAACAGGCTTACATTCATCCCTCCTGCCAACCCATGACACAAAAATGGTCTCCCTTTATCAGTTAAGCTCTGCTGTGTGTTTTCCAATGCAGGGGCATTAAGCTGGGGCAGTGAATTAGGAGAATGTGTTTGAAGGGGTGCGAGGTATAGAGATTTCATGCTTTTTCCTGAGGGAATTTTTTGCATTAACACTGATATAATGATGCCTGGCTATGACAAAGATGAGCAGCTGAGAAATACATGTAATAAATAATGCACATAAACACGCAAGATCGTTTCTAAGGGAAGTAAAGTGCAAGCCAGCCTTTTTAGCTCACGGCTAATGTGGTGGAATAATAAAACTCCTTCTGAGATGCTGTTGTCTGACTTGACATGCTTTGTTTTTCTCCTCAACAGGGGAAGTGTTCTTGCAGATTAAAGGCCCACTAGAAGACACATATAAAATCTATTGCTATCACCATGATGATGCACACACCATGCTGGAATCCTATGAAAAGGATGAAGAACTGAAGCAGCATTTAAGAGACTGTGTACAGTCCTTAAAGTAAGATCTTTTCAAATGATGATTTCCGTCCATAGTCAGTTTGCCTGGCAGGGAACATTTTAAATGGATGTAGATGAAAGGTCCCCTGTAAATCTGGAGTTCTATAAGGCTTGCTGGGAGCTCTAGCTTATGCTGCTTTCATGAAAAGATGACAAGCCAGGGGCCATGATTAGATTTCTTTCTCTCTAAGATGGCCAAAAATAGCACAAGAAAGGTTGCTCTTCCCTTAGTTTCAGTGCCCCATACTGGCAAATAAAAAAAATGCTGCATCATATCATATTGGAAACACCTTGCCCAGCTCCCAGGAAACTTGCTGTCCCCCTGTCTTCAGCAATTCTATTGCTTGAATTTAAATAGCCTGTAATGCAGCTACTCAAATGCACTGGTGTTTCTGGGCCCCTGTTGCAAGGCCCCAGGGGTCTGGAGCTGCTATGTGGTGCTGAACCCCTCATGATGGGGGTGTTTGAGAGCGAACAGTGATGGAGCAAGCTGCCAGGTCCCACCAGTGGGAGGTGCTTTATGCCATCGGCTTCAGCGCCAGCCCCTCGGGGAAATGTGTCAAGAACTGGGGATGCCTCAGAATAAAGGATCCATCTTTCCTTCACCACAGCTTCCTCCTGCAGCCAGTCACTGGAACGTGCTCATCCTCTCCATGGAGAGTGCTTCTCTTTCCACCCATAAATTCTCTTGCCCCCTTACTTTCCCAAAAGCATCACACAGAGGTGTCAGGAGGGAAAATGCCACAATTTCAGAGCAGAGATGTGTTAAGACTTAGGAGATGGGAAGTATGTCCAAGTGAAATCTGGAAAGAGTGGTGGAGGAAAATATCAACAACATTGAAAGAGAAATGTTTACTTTGAAAACAGGTTATGTTGAAAATGACGCTTATTTTGTGCAATATATCCAGTTATTAAATACATAACAAAGTGTATGTGCAGGGTGCTCAGGTTTTAGCTACCCTGAAAGTTGAAAGAAACAGATTTTCATATAATCTCAGGCTTTCAGGCTAATGGATGACCAGGTATCTCCCCTAAGGGAATGTTTTAGTTGCTGATGCCTGCAATATTCTTTCCTGGCTAATCAAGAGAAGCTGCTACTGTCATTCATCCCTGCTGCTGAAGCAAGGGGGCATGGAAGAAAATAAAGATAAAAAATAGCATCCATGTACATGCTAGGGTGGAGGCTGTCACTTGAATTCCAGAGCCAGCAAGAGGTGCTCCTATTCCAACATCTCAGCTGAGCTTTCTGAAGAGAAAGGATATTTTGTGCTGAGCTACTGTATCTTTGCTAGCAGGAAGTGACAAAGACTTCCTTACAATGAAGCCTTGTTTTGTCTTGTTCTTTCCTGATTAGCCTTTGAACAGGAACCAACGATAAAAGCACTGGTGTGTGTATACTCTGTTGTGCTTTTTCCTACTGCCTAAAGATTGCAGTCAATGAAGACCTGAAAGTGCACCCTCAAATGCTAAAATGCAGAATTGTGGTCATTTAAACCTGTTACTACCCATTGGAAAATATTTGCCCTAGGAAGAAAATTATGTAGGATTGTTACCGAATAAGTTATAGGCTGTTTTCCACTGTGAGACATAACAAATGCGGGCAGTGGGGGGGTGGGTGGTGGGTGGTGGGGTCGGGGTGTGTGGGTGTGGGCTGGTGACGACTACTCTTGAAAAATGTTTACTTCTTAAATATTTTTTTTTCCTTGGAAAGAATACTGTTCCATTTTAAAAAATCTTAAATTAGCTGACGTTACTAGGGACTTCTGTTCCTCAGCTGAGTAATATCTGACATGTAAAAACCAAGTTCTATATCAGGAGCAATTTAAGAGTGGCACTCTGCACATCTCTACAGACAAATCAGATTTAATTAGCTATGCTGAGATTCCTATTCCTTTTGACTGAAGAGGAAAAAAATTCATCCCAAAACGTAGGTGTCTGCATTGGAGATGTGCAAATCCAAATTCTGTAGAGCCTCGTGTTTCAGCTGTGATTATACAAACTGGGGATATTGTTTGCTAGTTTAGCCAAAGAAATGCAGCTGGTAGAAATGAAAGGATGCTGGCAACTACCTGCTCAGCTTTCAGCCTGGAGTAGCTCGGTCACATATTACAGGGACAGAGGGACGTCCTAAGCACACAAAATGCTGACAGTGCAAAAGCTATGAAAGCACCAGCTTCCAGATGCTCGACTAGACACTGGTGGGCAAGGAGATGAGAGTGCAGGCTATCAAAAAGAAGTGGCTGAGGATGTGATGTCAGGAAAGCCTAATGCAGAGATGGGGGGACATTTGGTTCTCTTGCATTTGAGTGAATTCATACCACAAGGAAAACATTCTGTGCATGTGCTTGCATGTTTGTAAATTACAATTGTAAGTCCCTGCTGCTTTCAGTATATCAATCTACTCCATCCTACTCTGGAGAGGTTTCATTTGATGTGTAGTCTACAAAAAAGCTTAACAGCTTCATTGATTCTATATCCTAAAAGGCTAAAAGGTATTCTTTCTCATTTAGAAATACATTTCTTTTTAAAGAGAGAAGACAGGAATGTATGTAAAGTATAAGAATGACATATTTAATTTTACTTTTTGTATTAATGACTTAATATTTCTCACAATTGCTAGCAGAGTGATCCAAACTTCCTTCTCTTAACAGTGGGAGGATTAGGCTGGCTCTCATAGCCAAAGCCAGGTTTCTGACAATCCTTTCTCATTTGGGTCTGTCCTTTCAAGAAGTTATAGGGCCAGATTAACCGATACTCTCTGGCTGCTTTGTACAGCTCTGCTGACACATAGCAGCCATAAACCTAAGTTAACTGGCCAGTTACAACTGCTCTGTGTCACTGAAATGTATCTGAGAATCTGGCTCCTGATCTGTATAAATCCTTTTAGGAGGAATCTAATACATGTTTTGTTTTCTTCTCTTTTGCAGAAAGATATATGAAGAAGAGTAAGTACTCTGCCTTTCTCACATGTAAAATAATCTTTAAAATACTTTTAATTTATCTTTAGTATGTTTAAAACTGTACAGGTGGAAATTTTAAGAAGACAAGCTTTTTATGTCAGTATAAGCCAAAGATTTTTCCAGGACACATGTAGAGGGCTCTGAAGTCTGCAAGACTGCTTGTCAACAACATAGCATCAATTTTTGAAATTCAGACATTCTGAAATCTTTCTACATAGGCTGCTGTAGACCTGCTACAATACAGACAGATTCGCAGGTAAAGGTATTTTTAACCTGATGACCCCTTCAGTAGCCTTATAGGAGAAGCCCACCTTAGGATTTTCCTTCTGACAGTGACAATGACGAGCTCATTGCGATGCTTAGCCAGAAAACTCCTCCAGCCACTGGTGAGTTGTGGTTAAGGGACTTCTGTGCAAAATGTGACATCTTTGAAAAGCTATAAAGGAGAATTTATCACAGCTGCAGTTTCTGGACATCCAGCAGGTTGGGATCATTGAAATGCAGCGATGCCTCTAGTTACCTGCAGTGAGAGGTCAGAGGAGGGGGTGGCTGAACAGAAGGAAAAGATTACAACTTCAGATGAAATGTTAAGAGAAGAGAGGAGCAAGTGTGGTCTATATTGGTAGGAGAGGAACAGACCTACCTGTAAAATCAGAGAATTTGTTAGTCAGTCATTTGCATGTAATAATTATGATCTGCGTAAAATACACTTCAAAGGATTTGCATGTTGAAACTCTAAAGTTGGGAGTTCCAAGCTTTACTCTGTGATAGGAAATAGTTTTTCTGCCTTTTGTTTTGATAAAGGCCATTCTTGTATACTCCTGTCCCTGAGCTTGGCTACCTCACATGGTGTGGTGGCATTTGCCTTCCCTGCTGACTGGCAGAGCACTCAGAAATTCCATCACCTGCAACTCAGCTTAGAGGTTGCAGAGCTGTGGCAGGAGTGCACCCAAAAATCCAATTGACGTCGAACTGAAAAATACAGCCTAACTCACTCCAAATGGTCTGTGATGTTGCTGCTTCCAGATTGCTTTTCATTCAAGCATGATCAAGAAAACAATTACATAAATACCAGACAGTGCTGCCCTTTGCTAGCAGCTCGATAGGTTAAAAACTCTGCTTGGCTTAACAAGTGTGTGACCTCAGTGAATTCCCTGGGTTTGCATGAGAGGCTTACGGCACAGTGAATTATTTGTCCTACATGCCTTGTGCTAAAATGAAGCCGCACAGCAAACCACGAAGCCTGAGGCTTTAAGTTGGCTCTGCAGCCTGATGCCTGCACACTATTTCAAAACTGGCAAGCTGCATATCCCACCAGCCTCAGCCTGGCTGTACCACACTGGCTGTTGTGTTTGCCACTGGAACAAGCTGCTGGGTAATGAGACCAAATGAAATTAAATCCTGCATCACCTGCCTTTGTGTACCTCACCACCATGGATTTTTTAAGCAGGTGGGAATCTTTCTGTATGTGTGACTTTGGGAGGCAGGAGGAAGGATATGTCATGAAGCTCACTGCAGTTACACCAGCTGCATTTACTGCAGAGCTACAGCAATAATTTGCGATGAGATTAGTACAGCTATGTATGATCTAGAATACTTGCTAAATTCACAATAACACGGAGGGAAGGCTGAAGTAGCATCACAAATGAATTATCAACTTAATTTTTTGCACAATAGATGTCACGAGCCATAACTCTCCTGCATGGCAAGGCTGTGGCCTGCCCAGTGGTCGGGTGTGTCCTACTGGGATGCATTGCAAATGGGACTTGTCCAGGAAGAGTGGCTATCTCAGCTAATAGTGCTGGGGAGAATCAGATGAGTTGAACTTTGTGGCATTTTGTGCCCCAGGGAGTCATTATCTTATAACAAACCTGCTATCTCTCACACCATATTGCAAGACTGTGTCATGCAGATACGAAACAGAGGACTGTTTATCACTTAGGCAGCTGTCCAAAGTGCAACTATAAAAAGAGAAGACACTTGAAGATTTTTCCATTCATGAGGCAGCTTTTGTAGATTTGAATTCATGGGGCTTTTCAGAGAAAACAATAACAATTTAAGATGTTTTTTTCATTATTGCCACCAGAAGCTGAAAGAAGGGAAAATAGCTATCTATTTAATGTAGGGTATAGGGGAAATGAGGGGGATTGAAATGATGAGAAGGTTTCGGGATATCAAGAAGCCTTACAAGGCATCTACTGTTAATTTTTTTTCATGCAGAACTTTTTTACAGATAATGTTTGAGATGGCTTAAATATGCAGATGTCTCTTCTCAAAGACATTCAAATTGTTAGTTAATTAGTCAGCAGTAAGGATTGGCTCTTGTACTTTTTACACATATAAAAATGGGAATGAAGGCTTTTTTCTTTTACTCTTTCTGCTGCACAAAACAATAGATGTCAGCCTGCAAAACCAAGTGGCTGTTCCCTGTTCTTTGTACTTTCCTACATTGTGTTATTTCATCTTTCCACGTGCAGAAATCCTTCTTTGCCTACCCTTAACTCCTGCATAGTTAATGTCAAACAACTTTTTCTGCTCCAAAGCAGCCTTTTGGCCATGCAAATGGAAAGCTTGCTCTGCTTTATTGCCCTCCACATGGTTACCAGCAGCTCATGCTAAGTTTCAAGAGAGAGGTCCCAGGTAGCTCGTGCTGGAGCTTTGCCTGGTTTGCTGAGGAGCACTGTAGTGAGGAGAGGCCACGGACATGTCTGTCCTGCTGCTGGTGGTTCAGCAGTGGCTGGGTCGGGTCTTAGGACTTGACCACCTGGTGTTACTTGTTCTGAGGAGACTCCACGTTTCTACCAGCCACACAGAAGGTAATGAAGGCAAGTATGGCTAGGTCTTGCCCTTCTCTATTTCCTTCCAGGCTGTTGTGACAGCCTGCACGCTGCACAGCCTCTTCCATTCAAGCCTGGAGAGTGTAAGCAAAGGCTTTTGTCCAGAGCAGGGCTGGAGCATGAGTTCAGCTGGCTTGGGGCCCAAGAGCTCGGGTGGCCTTCATGGCCTGAGGCACTTGGATGTCTGGGGAAGCTGCTCTGCTGCCCTTGCCCAGCCAGTGGGGGTTTACCCTAGATCCACAAAGCACCCCTTTTGCCTGTGCTGGAAGCTGTGACTCCCCTACTCTCGTCCTTCTGCCACCCTGACCAGCTGCCTGCTTTGCCTTTGTGTAAGGAGTCTTCCAGCAGGTTGGATCAAGCCTGGGTGAATATCCTGTGTGTTCAACATTTCCCCAGGCCCAATCTGGTACCCTTTGGAAGCTCAGGCATCATTAGAAATAACTAGCTAGCAGCCAGCAAAGAAAAGCCGCAGGTAAAAGACAGTAAAGCTTAAGGGTCAGGTCATGGTGGCAAGTCAGAGATGTTGTGAGAAGGGATGCATTTTGAGCAGGCATCCCAGTTACTCACAGCATGTAGATGTTGAAATTTTAAGCCTGAGGTGCCAGAGCAGGATGTAACAGCCCTGCTCACATGCATTTCTCAAACTTCCTGTTATTTGTTCTTCCACCTACTTCTCCCTTCCTGGGTGTTGCGATGTGTAAGTTATACCACATGCACCCTCAGACTGAGTGGGACAATTTCAGAGGTAGTGTCTAAGCAATAGTCTGGTAGGTTGCTGAAAATACAGAAAATTCTGGGTGTATGTCACATTGAGGGGGCAACAGGAGAGTTTCGTTTACAACAGGCTCCATTCCCTGACAGATGTGTCTTATTTTTTGACTTAAATGGTAATTGCACTTAAGTGACTATTACTCAGTGCAAAGGATTGCTCTGGTTTTGATATTTTCTGTAGGTGAAAGCTCAGCTGAAGGATATAAAAGGCAGCAGCTTCAATCACTAGACAGAAATAATAACAAGGTTTTGCCTTCAAGGAACTTCTTATTTTGTGACAATTTTTTTTGGTATAAATTATAGAGGGAAGCCAAATCTAATGGACATGGGATCTCTGATGATTAAACCAGTGCAACGGGTGATGAAATATCCCTTGTTACTCCATGAACTCTTGAATTCAACTCCTGTTTCTCACCCTGACCACAAGGCGCTACAAGATGCCCTTTTTGCCATGAAAAGCATTAATGTGAACATCAATGAACTTAAAAGGAGGAAAGATTTAGGTAAGAAAAAAGCACAGTAAGTCTTTGTAGGTTTGGGCTGTCCATTACAAGAGAGGTTTCAGCTCCAGGTATTTCACTACAACAGTTTTGGCTGGTGCCACCCACGCTGTGTAATACACTGAGTTTCAAGAAGGTAACAGTTGCCTTAATGTCACTTATCCTCAGCCAACTATGTTATCTGCCTGGTAACTCCAGTATCAAAACTATGAAAGAATTCATGTTATATTGTGTGTAATGCAGTTGCAAACACTGATAATAATTAAGATGCAGTAATAGTAATATTTCTTATAGACTTGCCACATTGAAGCCCTAACTTCACTCTTCCCAAGGTTAGTGTTGATAACAGGGTTTTCATCCTCTCAAGCATTTTCACACAGGATTACAGCAAGTGACATCAAAGTGTCTGCTCTCAAATGGTCTCATATTTGTGTGCCTGTCCCTTTGAAAAGTCCTGCAAATACAGATTATTAATGTAATGAAATTTTCTGTCTGCAGTGCTGAAGTACAGGAAGAATGATGATGATGAAACCCTTAAAGAAAAGTTTTCCCGACTGAATATTCACTCCATCAGCAAGAAATCCAAGAGGGTGACCAGCCATCTGAAAATACTGACGGGGGGAGAACCTCAGGTACTTACTCATCCCATTGCAGATTTGCATCAACAGGTTCAGTTCTGCTTTTGCACTGGATGTTTTTCAAAACGTGTTGGAAATGGAGTTTGTGGTGTTGCACTTTTTTTCTGCATAATTTCTAAAGTAATTTTCTGACTGTCAGAGAAGACAGGAAAGATCTTTGTGATTGAAATAGAAAATAATGTAATGTGTTCTCCACCTTTTCCTTTTTTACATAAGAGTTTCTCAAACTTCTGATCTTCAGTAGAGAGGAAGTGAGTGGTAGTTTTGTAAAACTAAGCCTGAGGTCAGCATTTGGCAGATAAACTGGCAATAGTTATTGTTGGTGCTGAGAACATGTTCAGTCCGTCTTGCTCCATGTTGTAGCATTCAGGTTCGGAGCCCATCAAAGAAGATGAGCAATACCTCTAATTAGGAAAGGCCGTGGGGTTTGCCTCTACATGTGTAAAGACCTGGAACCATCAAAACTACTAGAGACAAAGAACTCTGTGATGAGTCTGATGGGCGTTGGGCAGCCAAAAATAAAATGCTCCTTCGTAATTTCAAAGTTGTAATTCAAAACCTAGCAGGATAAACATTTTCAGGAAAGCTTAAATCTAAATCTCAAAGAAAATCAATTGCAACTGACCTTGAAAATTATATCCAGTACAGCTCACTGCATGAGATGGCTGATCATACAAGGTCACTTGCCTTTCTAGATGTGACTTTACAAGGTACATGCCATTTTTTCCTGTTTTGTTTTTTATCAGTGGTTTCCCCCTTTCTCTGATGAAAACTACCCACATTTTTTTTTCTGTTCATTTATTTGTACAGTGGAAATTTTTGTATTCAGAATGTGACAGGCACCAGCAAGGCTATAAAATGAGAAAAAAACCGGAATTAAATTTGATTAAGAGGATATGTGATTTTTTTTTTTCCTTTAGAAGCTTCTGGTTTATGTTTTTTGGTTTTGTTTCTCATTAAGCTTGAAGCATTTGAGAATCATTTTAGAATCAGAACACATCTGTTAAAGATTCAGCCGTCTCTGCTGCTTAATTAAACTAAGAAAGTTTCCAATTCACATGTTGAAACACGCCGTGACCCTTACAGCGAGACCCCTAAGACGAGCCTTGAGATTTCTCAGGCTTCTAAAGTGAGAGGTAGGCAGAAATAAACGTGTTTTCAGGGTGTTTCCAGCTGGCGCACAGCAGCAGCACAAGCCCATTCCCAGCTGCCGGCGTTTCCAGGGAAGGGCTGGCCCGGCTCTGGGGTAACAGCGCCACCTACAGCCCTCCGAAGGGAAAGCGCCCCATCACCCACGGACCGGCACCCGGGCAAGCGATGCCACGACACCAAAACATCTCACCATCTTCCCCGTCCTCTCCTCAAACGGAGCAACAATAAGGGTTTTGTCGGCACGAGCTGGTATGCCCGTAAAAAAGCAGCTCCACGAGGATTTAAAAATTAAATTCTCTCTCATGTTACCTTGTGGTTTTGACTTCTCTTGAATTGGAACTGGAGTTTGGGAGAATTAAGGGTTGATCTGTTTTCAAAGGGAGGAGTTCAGGGAAGGTTTGGGATTTATTTTAGCAGCACTCTGGATGTTTCTTTCATTAGCCAGGCTCCTTTGGGCCGCCAAAATAACAGTGGAAATGTCTATTTTAGGTGAAAGATCAAACCTTTAATAGGGAAGAAAAATTGTTTCGAAGTTTAGAGAAGACTGTGAAATTGTGTGTGAAGAACATTTCGCTCTCTTCACAACATCTACAGGTGGGTACAAGCCTTTTTGAAATCTGTGGCCACAAAATCCTGACCATAACCAGTTTGACACAGATTTCTGCCACTGGTTAGGCAACACCGAATTATTTATAAGCAGGCCTGTCTACATCAGAGTATTAAATAAATAAGCTGTGCTGCTGCTGCATTGCTGAGCCCATGGCAAAGAAGTGTTGAAGCCACCTCTTTTGCATTTTTGCCCTGACAGAAGCAGGCTTTGTGGAGATCCACAGGTGCAGTGCAGAGAAGAAGGTGCTGTCTGGTGGCACAGTTAGGACTTTCAATCGCTGTGTGAAGCTGTCGTGCCCACTGGCTGCAGTCGAGCACAAACTGCTTCTCATTAAAAATGGAAGAACTGAGTTGCAGCCATATGAGTTAAAATGTCTTATAATATGTATTTTGGATGTGAGGACTCCTTCCTTTTTCCTGTTGCTAAGTTGTGTTGAGGCCTAGCATTAGATGTACAGAGTGCTCAAGTTCTGTAAATGTCTTTGCTTCAACCCTCCTCTCCAAAGTTGAGTGTTGGCTTGTGACTTATCAACCTCTCCCTCTCATGGACTACTTGCCAACTTTGGCATGAGGCCAAAGTGTAAGTGTGCCCTAACCAAACTCAAAACTTGTTTGAGAGGTGGGTAAGATCAAAAGCCAGCTGGCCAGGGCTTATTACAAACACACCTTTTTTGGTTCAGCAAACAGGGTGAGGCCGGTGAGCTCAGCCCGCAAGGGTTGATGCCTGGAATGGTGCTGACAGTTCCTTATCCGAATGGATCCACACTTCATTAAGATTAAAATTCTGAGTAAGCGAAATACACCACTTTAGTTCTACTTTGTCCCCTAAAAGAGGCTTTTGAGGATGCATGGGTCTTGAGCTGGCTTCTTGCTGAGGAGTAGCTGATTTCCAGTGGGACATTCATTAGTTTAGGGCATAGTTTTTTCAGATGAACATTAACAACTTAATTCTTAAGTAGTTTACATTGAAAATAGACAAACCACAGGAAAATATTATCACAGCAAACAACCCCACAATGGCTGGAAACTGCACAGCAGCTGCATGAGTGTCAGAGGTGGAAAATTCCATCAGTATTATTGCAGTATCTGTCCTAGCAAACACAGTATATTAAAATAGATTGTAATACTGTTTCATCTTCCTACCATCTTCTCTTTTAGGATTCTATACATCTGGCTGCCCAGAATATAGTTGGGCTTCAGGAAATCTTGCAAGATAAAGGTGACAAAGTCAATGACTGTTTGAAAAAAGGGAACAACACTGCAAATCTCTGTGAAGACCTTGTAAGTTTATGCAATGTCCAGTGTTACACAGCTCTCTGTATGTGTGAGAAAACAGGTGTATGTGAGGAAGACTAGGACAGAAGGGAATTAACCCCCACCCCCTTAGGAATCCATTGGGAAAGATGAGTGGGGGTTTTGGTTGAGTTTCTGTAAAAAATAAGATAAAATTCTGTGTAAATGCATTGCATTTTCCCTAAAAGAACTAAAGAAAACTTTTCAAGCTCAGTTCCTGGGTTTAAACTAAAATCTTTGTGCTAAATTTGTATGTCTTCAGACAAGAGCAGCAGACTTTGCCTTTGTACTTTCATTACCAGCACTTGCAGTTTAAGAGTGAATTTTGTGATCTCTATTGTGCTCATGTACTGTTAGCTCTGAAATCGCAGATCTGTGAAAATCTCAGATTTACCTTTAGAGTCATAGAATCATGGAATGGTTTGGGTTAGGAAAGGTCTTTAAGATCAGTCCAGATATTAACACAGCACTGTCAAGTGCTCCACATAGGTAAACCATGAAAAATCTGAATATACCCCATAGTAATTAATAAAGCAATTAAAAAAAAAAAGGTGAGAGTTTCTCAACTAGTCTTTTGCTTTCAAAATTCAGATAAACTCCAATGTCTGGGTCTAATAAGATAGCTAAAATGTCTCTTCAAAATGGGACAGGCTGCTTCTTCAAAGTGCTGCTCAAGCTGGAAAAATTTAGAAGAGAAGGTTTTCTTACACTTTGCTAACTCTGTGCTGACTAAAATATAGCCATTCAATCCTTTCCAAAACACTCAGTCTGCAAGAAAAAGTATGCTCTTTGGCAGACCCCAGCCTTCAGGATAATGACAGGGAAGTAAGATGATGTGTATCTTTTCCTCTGAAATTCGCACCTTTGAAAATTATCTCAAAAATTAATCTCAAAAATATCTCAAAGAAAGATATTTTCAATGTCTTTACAATGAAAGAGTGCATAAAGTGCAAAAGAGTACCCCTCTATCATTGCAATGGTGAGTGTGTTCATTATGGAAGCTGCCTTCATACTCAGAAACATAAAAGAGAAGTAAAAGTAATTCCACAAGAGCTGAAACAAAATACTTATTTTTAGAAAAAAAAAATTGTAACACCTATCAGCTCATGATCCAGTTATTCTGAAGGTCTATGTAATTAAGAAAACCCCAAACAACTTAATCTTATTTGTTTTAACTGTGGACATTTTTATTAACCATGTTAAATTATCTGTTTATTTCTGTGTTTTGGATTTACAAGATTACAAGGATTCTCTATCCTATGTGTAAGGTTTTTTTTAAAAACAGGCTTTTGTCTTGACATTGCACAATGGGTAGATGTTCTCACTGAACAACCCATAGGGTTCTTCACATGTTTTCCTGAAACGCTTTTATCAAGGTAGATCTCAGTACTGGGCTTGGGTTAATTTTTTTTTCTCCTTTGTGCAATAATTAATACCTTCCTATCTCATTAGATTTTTGGGAAAATTTTCAAGTGGAAATAAAATAGGAGCTATCTAGCCAGTGTATGTCATCTTGGCCTTGGGAGAGCAATTCTGGGGATAAAATGGATGTATCCTCAACTGTGATGTGTTTTGGAGGGTACAGAGACAGCTGATTGTGTTCTCACATTCAACCCAACAACTTAATTCACATAAAATGTCCAAGAGCTTTAATATGATGATGAGTTTCACTCACTACAAACCTGTGCTGTATCTGAACAAGTGACTTACAAAAATTTATTTCATGCAATATTAATCCCTTGAGACAATTAGAGACTAATGGAAAAGTCTGAGATTTTTTTTACCAGGTGTCTAATTTTGTTGATTACTAGAGATAAAACCAACAAGCATAACCTAATTTAATCAAATCAAGTGATTGTTTGTGTTTGCTTAAACAGGAATTGAGTTACAGCTGTTTCCAGGAAAAAAAAAAAAAGGCAAAAAAGACTGCCACTTCACAAGACCTCATTGCCTTTAGGCTGTATATTGGCATGGGCCTTTCAGTTAAGGAAATTCTGGTTTTATTGGACCACTATACTTATCCTTGCTGTTTTCCCCAGTGGTAACACCCTATGGTCAGTACCACAGGCTGCATCCTCCAAGGGACCACTGCCATTACCAGACACTGCAAAACTGATATCCCTCCTTTGCAGTGTTATGAAGGAGATTCTAAGTCATGATGGACCCTGCTTAAGGCCCACTGACAGCAATGTTTTGTGAAGAGTAATTAGCAGGTTGCTTGACAGGCTGTCATCAGACCCTGTCACAGGGTCTGAAGGACTGTATGAATAAAGTAATGAGTAGGTCTGTTTTATACCTTTCCAGATGGCTCAACTGGACAAGCTTATTTTGACTCCTCTCTCAGCACTACAAGCTTTGTTTTCAGGCCCTCAGAAACTCATCCAGAAGCGCTATGACAAGTTGTTGGACTACAACAGCTGCCTTCAGAGGTCAACCGGAGAAGAGCTGAACCTGGCAAAGAAAGACTATGAGGCTCTAAATGCACAGCTAGTGGAAGAACTTCAGGTATTCAATAGAGCAGCCAAAAAGATTGTGTTGAACTGCCTACATTTCTTCATCACCTTCCTCAGGAATATTATGTCTGCAGCACTTCAATCAAATTCTGCTGTGGTAGTGCCTGTTCCAGTAAGTACATTAGAAACAGGTATAGCTCTGACTTAATTTGTCTTTTTTTCTTTCTGTATGCTTTGGTTAAAGTTGTGTAGGACACGCATCTACAAGCTACACTGATTTTGTTTGTTCTGCTGAGCACAATCAGGTGGTTTTTTTTTTTCCTTTGCAAGCTCAGCAAAGGTTAAATTCATAGAATCACAGCATTGTTTTGGGTTTGGAAGGGACCTTAAAATTCACCTAGTTCCAACCCCGCTGCTGTGGGCAGGAACACCTTTCACTAGACCAAGGTGCTCAGAGCCCCATCCAACCTGACCTTGAACACTTCCAGGGATAGGGAATCCACAAGTTCTCTGGGCAACCTGTTCCAGTACCTCCTGACACCACCCTGACAGTAAAGCATTTCTTCCTGATGTATAATCTAAACTTACCTTCTCTCAGTTTGAAGCCATTCACCCTTGTCCTATCACTACATACCCTGATGAATAGTCCCTCTCCAGCTCTCCTTTAGGCCTCCTTTAGGTACTGGAAGGCCACAATAAGGTCACCCCACAGACTTGAGTTCTGAGGAACTTATGTTCTGAGCTTAAGTTTTTTTCAGACCTGGACTTTTCGTAGAGAATGATCCTAATGGAACTGTTCCAGCTGTTCCAGTGATAGTAATGGCAAGAACATTACAGTAAGGCAAAAAGGAGGCAGCTGCTAGCATTTTAATCTTGTTTCTTAGCATCTACCCTAAATGGCCAAGAAAATGCAGGAAAGAGAAAATCTAAGAAAGTACATGAACATTTCTGTGACTGCTAGAGCTGCAGAGTCACAGATGACTGCAAAAGAGAAACAAATTAGGAGATCTGATGAAATAATTTTTATGGAAAGCAAGTTGCTTTTAAACCCAAATATGCTGCAGAAGCTCCTGCAGACATCTCTTGGCAGTGAGGAATAGTTTTGTCTATGCTGGCATAGAAAGTCCAAATCATTTCACTTACGTAGCCAAAAGTACCAAAGGAGCCTGTGTGGGCTACACAGGAGGGCATTAGTTCCTCCAGCCCACTCTACTCTTTCTGGGCACTATGGTCATTACCTGAAGATTGAAATTGAAAAACTATTCTCAATTTGTGTGAAAATCATACTGTGTTTCAGTTATGTCATACTTTTGCCTGGAGGACTTGAACCCCCTGAGAAGCATAGCTGCAACAGTGCCTTCCACACATCCAAATCCACTCACCTGAACCAGACAAGACTCTGTATAGGAAACGCATTGTAGTAAGGCAGTTCTAGAGTATTCCTTCCCATCAAGGCTTGAACAGAGCATGTTATAGTCAGGGGTAGCTGAAAAAAATTAAGAAAGCAAGGTTAGGATCAAAACAGAGCTATGTGTTTAATGGCAAAATGAAGACTTTTCCCACATGAAGAAATTGCATCCCTGTAATTTGACATTTTCATGTTTTGAAAGCTGTTGTATCAAGCATTGTTTTCTGTGAAGGTCTGGCTACAAAATCAAATTCTATTTCTTTATTTTCTGTTTACATCAGCAAATACATTTGGGGTAAGGCATAGACCAAAAGGACTTACCCAGTGCCACAGACAGAGACTCAGCTTACCCAATGATTTTTAACCTATTGGCACCCAGTTGCACAAACACACAGCTGTGGGGTAAGCTACTCCAAGCCGTGCAGCACGTTGGCCACGCTGATAGCTGCTGAGATGCACATTTGCATCTGAAAGCAGGTGGCTCAGTAGCATAAGTACAAGACTGTTCATTTTCAGCACCATTCAGAATATTTTTAATGATTTAACTTCAATGGCCATGTCTTTTAAATCTAATAGCAATTACTAGAAACTTTCTTTAAGCAAGACCCTTTCTTCCCTCTACATCCTGTATGTAGAGACTACACTGCACTGTGGGCTCTGCAGAAAATTGGCACAACTTGTCAGATTTCCTGACTCCTAGCATTCAGCCCATTAAGCCAAATCTGCTCTCTCTCAAATCTCCTTACCATTTTGCACATGAGATCTAACCCACATTTGTGTTTGCAGCTGTCCTCCTCAAGCATCTGTGAAGTGCAGAATCAATTGATAGAGGAGGTTCACAAGCTGAATTTTGTAAAAGAAAACAGCAGTGCAACATTTATTGAGAGAAAATTGAGCTTGGAAAGAAAGAAACCTGTCCCTTCTCCCGTGAGTACCATACATCTGGATCGTGTATGAAGCATCCTCTTTTGATCACTTTTGAAACAAATCCATTTTTATGCAACCTAAAGGTTTGGGCTTGGTCTCTTCCTGAATCAGGTTGTTGGAGTGAAGCTGTTTCATTGACTAGTAACTTCTGATGATTTTTCACTTTTTTCATGTATTATCTTGAAAATATACTTGAAATTAGCTCGGATTACCCTTAGGCCTTTAAGCACATGTTAAGTCTAAGGTTGTATAAATAACTTGGGTTATTTCTTTTGTTAAATACTCTTATAGTTCATCTTAATCTTGTAATTCAGATGACTTTTTCCCCCATGCTCAGCTGTGGTTATATGTACTGGTGTTTACACACATATGCACACACGTACACCCTGACAGCAGATTTTAAAAATCCACCAGGAAATCTGTGTCCCCCTGGTTCCGAATCTTATAAGACATTTCCAGAGCTTTCAGGAGTCTAGTTTACAGTAAAGTAAAGACTCAAGTGCAGATTTACAGGAGAAGCTGAGGAAGCTGTAGGATTCCTTTTAGCATCAGTAAGGCAAATGTGTTCTTGCTTCTGTGGTATGTTAAGATAATACTTAAGATGTGCAGTATTATCCCTCTCTGCCCTCTGACCAAAACTCTGAAACAAATATGCTTCCAGCAGTTAATAGCTCCTTGCCTCATTTAGGGAGGTAATTTCACCCAAAAAGCAGACAGTTTGGGTACCACTGATTTTTTTTTGACTAGTGCCTTATCATGCAAGTTGTTATGTGGTCTTAGCACACCTCAGCCCATTTTTGGATTGTGCTTTTTTTGGTGATATTACATAGGAATACAAAGATCATCACTTCAGAAAAACAATTAAGCAAGAGACAGTTCACATACAAAACACAATCCCTTTGAGAGCAGAGGACAGACTTAAGAGGTCTTTAATTAGTGAAATTTCTGCATTTATTTAAAATCTGCCCTTTACTACTGACCTATTAATATAGCAGTTGGACAGGTCCTTTCTGCATATGCCAAGGCCATTTGGTCACATATAGCTGTCTAAGTAACTCCTTGGTCTATATGTAAAAACGCGGGGTCCGTTAGCAGCACACACAGATTTTTCTGCATCTAAGTTGCTCTAGAAATGACCTCAGCATCATTGAGTCTGAATATTTTTATTTTTACTTTTCAGCTGGAGTCCCCACGTCAAACAGAAGGCCACAGGTCCAAGCTGTTGTCTACGTACAGCCCCGAATTGCTGTACCAAGCTAAGCGCAAGTGCAATGCCACTCAGGAATTCGATATTGATTTACATGGAGGAGAACTGGTGGCTGTCGTGGAGCAAAAGGACCCCTTCGGAAGTACAAGCAGATGGCTTGTTGACACAGGAAGTAAGTTCTCTGCACAAAGATCCCAATGACAGCTTCCCTTTGGGATATTGATTTCTTTTCATTCTGGCCCCATCTGTTTGCCTCTGTCATACTGACAGCTGCATAAAATGGCTGGTTTTGAAATGATTTTAGCAGTGTTTTGCTGTTTGTTTATTTTCTGTCTCTTTATTCTGGTTTCTAGTCCTTAAAGGGTATGTGTATTCCTCCTTCCTGAGGCCTTACAATCCAGCCAAAGCACAGAAGGATGTCACAGAAAACAGCTTTAGTGATGATGATTTTGATAATATCAGCCTCTTTGTCTCTTCACGGCCCTCTACTGACAGCAGCACAAGAAGTCCAGGGCACAAGAAGAGTGACAGCAGCTCTTCTCTTCAAATCTGTGAAAATCCCACAATTAATGGCACAGGGACTGATGCTCTTCAGGATATGGATGATCAGCATGTAAGTATGATACACACTGTGCCTGTCTTCTTGTTGCTCCTATTTCAAATCCAGAATTATACTGTTTATAACTTGAATGGTTTCATTTTACACCGTAAAAGACTGGTACTAATCTATCAGTGTGACATGGGAATTTGTTATCCTCTGTTCTTAAGTAGCTATGAGGGAAGAAAAGATAATCAGTTAAACTGTGAATTGCAGTCCCGTGTCACAGAAAATAGACTGTTGCATTATCCCATCTACAATGCCTCATGGTTCCTCTATGGAGCAGGAACCTGCAAAATAGCTCAGTTTGGGGCATTTTTAGACTTACCATTGACAAGAAAGCTGTGGCAATGCTGATCAGCACAGCACAGAAGTGACCCATGTACCACATTTGAATACAAGAGCTTTGCGAAAGGTGATTTTCCCTGAGAAAACCTTGCTGGAAAATTCTTCATGCAATCCATGTCCACTTGGTGTGAGCTGAAAACCAGCATAGTAAAGTGAAGAGGTCTTGGAGTTTGGTTCATTCCTCCTCATGCAGAATTCCCCAGAACCTTCAATTTTACTTTTTGTTTTGGCCCTGTCCAGCAATCCCAGGCACTGGTTGTGCACTGGTTTGTATATGTTATTACATGTTTTCTGTACACAGAAATCATACCAATACACAATGACAGCAAAGATGTAGCAACATTTTTCAATTCCTATTTTGGTCTGTGTGGCTTTCGTTTTTCAGACCTTCTATGCTGTTTACGCATTTCAAGCAAGAAATGACCAAGAACTCAGTCTTCAGGAGTACCAGAAGGTTAGGATACTTCGTTTTTCTGACCTGAGTGGCAATAAAGAATGGTGGCTGGCCGAAGCAAAAGGTCAGAAAGGATATGTACCATCTAATTATCTCGGGAAGATGACATACGCTTAGGAAGAGAAGGGCCCATCGAGCCAGTCTCTCTGAAGCAAACAGAATAATCATCTGTTACATTTTGCAACAAGCAAGGCAAACTTGTGATTGACAAGTGATTGACAGAAGCCATGGTATCCAGCACACAAATGATATTGAGAACCTCCATCCTCCAAAAGCTATCACCTTGTCAAGATCTGAGTGAAGAATGATTTAACAGAAAGACTGATCCTGATTAACATCCTAAAGAGCTTGCTTTTCTATTACCCCATAATTTTCTCTTTTGTCAAAGCATCCTGTGTCAAGAGTCAACCTACAAGTACAAATCTCAGCTGAAATCATGTTTTTCTTCCATAATATTTAGCAAATACTATTCAAGATGAAGAGAATTAGCCTTGAAAAAGGACAAATTCAGTTATCAGGGATACTGTAGGCTGAATTGTTCCTTAACTGCTATTTCAATGAACATAGATGGATCTTAAAACTTGAACTTTTTGACTGTCTGTTTTTATCCTCAGTCACTTTTGTAATGAACTTTTTTCTCAGTGGAGATTATTGGATTGAGAAAAGAAAAGGAGTTTCATTTTTCAGAAACATTTCAACTTACAATATACCAAGCGTGGTGGTACGAGTGACTGGTCCCAGGGAAGAAGGTATGTTTAGTTAAATATGGAAATGCAGGGGGGGAAAGAGGGGACACAAGAAACAACTACTGTGAATTAAAGAAGTTACAATTTTCAAAAGAATTACACAACTGCTTTGTATGGTATAAACAGTTTGTAGCAATATGGAATTACCCCAGATTTGAAATTTCACATATATCTACACACTAAGCAGTTAGTGCAAAATCTGTGTAGTGAAATGAAACCTGTATTATTAGTCTTGGGAAATTTATTAATTTTTTTTAAAAAAAAAAAAGAAGAAGAGTCAAGCAGTGCCTTTGAATGAATATTTAGTGCCTATCTGATTCCTTAAGTCAGATACAGGGATCATATTGTCTAGTGAATAAGCTGGGAGTTAAGATTCATCAAAATTTCTCTTCCAGAAAAAAAAAAATCATTTTCCAAGTGTCTGATGTTAGATTGAACAGTGAAGAATGTATCAATGAGCTCATTCACTGTTTGCAGATTTCAGAATCAAAAGACATATTTTGCTAAACTATCCTCAAAACAGATGAGGCCAGTTTTACAAGTTAATACAGTCCACATTGCATCCTCAATGAGCATAGAAAACAAGACATCCCAAGGAAGGAGCTGAATGTCAAGTAGTACTTCTTTAGGTCCACTGACTACAGCGATCCTTAAGCCAGGTTGGTGTCCTGCACTTAAACCAGACCGAGTAGGGATAAAAAATATCTCTTTGGGATTACCAGTGATAACTAAGTGCTTGTCACAATGTATTTCAACACGGCAATGCCGAGGTCCTCTAGTGATAACTGAACACCTTCTTGTGCTAAGCACTGCAGCAAGGAAACAAAAAAGTGATTATGTCTGCAGCAAATAATGTAATTGAAGGTAAACTCCTGTCAGGTATTTTCTGTATTGCATAATTTCTTACACTGAACATTAAAATGACAACACTATTAAAATCAAGGTGAGGGTGGGATTATTGCTGGTTGAGGGTACACAGAAAGTGTTCTAAAGTTTTGTGTAAATTTCTACTTCCTATAGTTGAAATGTGAGGTTTGAAGATGAACTAATTCAAAATAGCAAGATCTAATAGGAAATAACCTGTCAACAAAGAAAGGATAAGAAAAGTTAAGGCAGTTGATGCAAACAATAGTTTTTGCTATGCTAATGAACCTACCTTAATTTTCTTTGATGCCCTCAATTTTCAGATTATTTTTATAAAAGGGTAGAAAAAGTTGTCAGTCTTGCTCAGAGGATGAATGCAGTGGATCACAGAGATTAGAATCTAAAATTTGTGCTGGATTAAATCATATAATAGAGAGACTTTTAGAATTCTCCGAGATGGACATTCAGAATCTGGTATGGGAATCTCTGTGAATTACTGCTATCCAGTGAGCAGTAACAATAGATAAAGCATTATTTTGCCTTATTGTACTTATGCTTTGGGCACTGTAATCTTGCCATTTCCATAGCAAGAAAAAAGGGTTCTCATTCATTTTATGAATGGATGTAGCTGCTTTTATGGAAAACTTCGCCTTTAGTTAAATGAAGTAAATGGAGAGGGAGTATCAGCTTGGAAAGACTGGACTGAAAGACTCACCCCTACTAAGCTTGCACTCCTTTGACTTTCATATTTTGAGATTATGGGGAAGATACACACAAGAAGCTTTGCAGTTATGTTTTACAATTTAGAGTCTTTTATTTGGAGATGATCTATACTTTGCACTAGTTGAAACAGTTTTAGAAATTACACAATTGTACTTAATAGGCTTAATGCAGTTGTGTAAGCACAGTGATGAAGTTTTATATGTCAGACAGTGAAATTAATTAAGGGAAAGAGTCAGTAAAAAAAGATTTCTTAAGTCTTAGCTCTGAGAACTCAGCTTGAGTCATAGGGAGAGCTCTGATTTTGAGTGTTAATGTACATTCCCCATGAAAAATCAGGCTCTGTGAAGGTGTCTCAAAGCGAACTTAAATGCTGCTCTCCAAAATATTCACTAGGTATCCTGATCCTGAAGTAACAAGGAATGAAGGATGAAATATACTGGAGCTGACCACCTAAATTTCATTGAATTTCTATGGGACTTAGGAATTCCTCACAGGTCAAATGAAACCCCAGTGTTTGGTTAGGACGCATAATAATTTTTATATTGTGGGGTAATATGCCTTTATTTTAGCCTCACAACTTGGGATCCAGAAAAAGTAATTCATTAGGTACACAAGTGGATTGGCTTATGCCATTTCGGAAATTCGAAGTTTTAGCTGTTATCATTTGATATTATGAATATATTGCAAACTTTTATTTTTGTTTAAAATAGATGAATGCAAACAACAATTGTAAAAAATTAAGAGATGCTCCTTGAATCCAAAGCTGTTTGACATTAAGAAGATTTACAGTATTTCATATTAGACTTGTTCAGTCACATTTTTATTAAGATAGTGCTTTAAATACTAGAAACTGAGCTATATTGGGGCTCCAGAAATTCCTAAGAATATGTAATGCTTTTGCTGTTGTTTTTTTAAATGTAGGGAAGGGTACAGTATTCTACATTAATGACAAAACTAATTTATTTTGATTGAAGCAGGGACAGGCTGCAGTTTAATGGACTGGTTTTGTGTTTGTTCAAATGTGCATTTTACTTACTGGAACTGTTTTGACAGTAAACATGTACAAGTACTTCCAAGACTGGGTCCACTCAAACTGAAGGGTTTCTCCATTTAGGGAGTATTTTTAAGTGTTGCCATTGATAACCTGGAACGCAGAAAATGCCCAGTCCAGTGAACAGCAGAGTCCTAGGCTCTGACTTCTGGCACCTATGTGCTTTACCATCTTCCCTTTGTTTGGGTGGTGCTGTGAACTTGAAGTAGGAGTTCACCTTTTCAATGCAAACACAGATTGAAGAATTATTCCTTCTGAATTTTCATCTTTGGAAGCTTCACTGAGTAATTACCTCCTTCAAACACTTAAGTATGCTTCTGCTGTCATTTTAAGATAGCTTTTAAACATGAAGAAAAGTGAAGTGGACCTAACACCTGCACTAGGAAGCACAGCCATGACAATCCTTGTTCCCGCAGATCTATTACTGATAATTCCTCTTACAATATTGTTTGTTCAGAAATAGTGAAAAAGTTCTTCTTTAAATTATTGCAATAATAAAAATCTATTTTTGTAAAGATGTTTCTTCTTATTTATTTTTTTAAACAAGATGTTTTCCAGAAGCAAAATGTTTTATATGCTATCCAACATCTGCCTGCAAAATTAGCAGAGGAAACAGAGTTGCCTCAGATAAAATGCTGCATTTCTAGTATGCATCCTAGCTTATCTATAAAAAGTCCTAAGATAAAAATATTAGAACTTGTCAAACACTCAAAACACTAAGCCAGTTTAAAAATACACTTCAAGGTTCCAAATATCAGTATAGTTCTTTTCTAGCTGTTCCTGAGGTTGTGACTGTTACTTACTGCTGTGTCCAGCCAGAGGTCTGTCATGACTTGTAGTAGATAAAAGCTTGTAAATTACAGAGCTTTGTGTCAGACCTTTCTTTTTAGACGCAGATATCACCAGCATCCCCTAGTCCAGCCAGAAGGAACATTTATGGAACCAGAGTAACCTATCATTTCACATTACAGAGGGTATCAAATTTTGGGCATCTATGAAAAAAACATCAGATTTAAGTAGAAGTAAAATACTACCACAAATTTATAAAATGTTTAAGGAAAGTTATGTAGCTGTTTTTATAGTAAATCACAGGGCAATTTGTATTGGGGACAGAAAAATCACAGGACTATTTTCCAGTTATTTTTCTAAATAAGAGGTATGCTTCTCAAAATTCAGACAGGCCTTCCTTCTTTCTGCCCTACACTATGTTCCTCAACCTGACATACGACTTCAGTCAAACAATCCTGTAGAACAGACTCCTTTCCTGAAAATACAGTTGTTAATTCCATCCTAACTATAACATCAAAGCAGAAAGCAACTGTTCCCTTCAATCTACTCTGTTTTTCAGCAGTGCCTATCTTACATATTCAAGCTAAACACTTGATTTAGAAGACCTGGTCTCTGCTATAAATCCTTCCTGATATAATACTTCAAAGAATCACAATCCTAACTGACATTTTTATACCAGCAGAAGGAGACTTTATATTTCATTTAAGAAGCTGGGAAAGTTACAGTGGAAGAAAGTCTTTCGCTGATACAAATTGTAGCTGTATTGCAGATTTTGCTAATACAGGGATAGTGACAAGTCCAGCTAGAATTGCCCTTATTAGAGGGAAAAGACCAGAATGCACTAAAGGTACAGCCTAAGTTATTTTATTCTGAATGGAGATACCCTACAGTCAATCCATGCCAGAGTTATAGACATAAAAACATCAGGATATATTTGAATCAGGTCTCAGAAGTATTTTAAATGGCATTAGCTACCACAACTTAAAAACAAGGATCAATTTTGTTCTGCCTGTGTTTACCCCATAGGTGGCACCCAAAGTAATCTGCACAGTTCAGCTGTAAGCTCCTGAACTCTCACAAGCAAAGCTATATGTATGTTCAGAGGCAAGACAGAGACAGCTAGCACCTTGAACATTCCTCTGGGAGTAGGTTTTACTACTGGAATGAACACTTTACATAGCAGCACTCCAGCCATTTAAAGAATCTATCTTCACACTACTACTTAGATCTAGGCAACAGTCTTCTGATTAACACTTAGGAAGAAAATATGCCTTCTGCTTCCTAATGGAAACTGCTTCGGGGTCTTTTCCTAGTATACCACCATTAAAAACCCTCTGTTGGAAAGGAAGAAGGATGGGCTGATCAAAAAGCAGTAAAAGTTCTGGATTCCTCCTGCTCATGTTGTTATTTTTACATAGCCCTGGAAGCCACAGGCATTACAAAGTCTTTTTTTCCTCCAAAGGAAAAAATAGTTGAAAAAATGTGCAAATTTCCCAGGTAGCTGAGGCAATCCCGAGTAAATGAAACTATTCCTTTCAATGTTTAAGGAATGTTAGCCCAAATCTTAATTGTGGAGAAGGGAAATGAGGCATGGGAAATAGCTGCATATATCAGCTTTACACATACCTAAAATACAGGATGGATAAAAATGGATGCCTATGTCTTCTGTGTTTCAGGTGTGCCAGAAAGGAAGCAAACTTACTAACACTCAAGACAACTCCCTTCATTTTCTTCTATTTTTTCCCCTCTCTCACATCATACAACAATGTTGTTCAATTAAAATATACACTAGCTTCCACTTATTTTCCATTCCTATTCAACAGGACAATATTAAGGCCCTCTACAGTTTAAGAAAGCTTGAAAACACTGCCTTGACTCTCTTCCGCTCTTTTTGCATGAAGTTTCTCACTGTATAAAACCAAAACAGGCCAATTAACCAAACTACCAACCCAAAATTCACCATTTAAATATACCGTTGTTTAACAGTTGATTTTTGAAAATGCATTTTTTTCCATGATGAATCTGATAATTTGAGATAATTAACTCTGCATAATATAGAGAACTCTGAACACCTCAAGCATTTTAAGTGTTGGAATACGAGGTGAAAGAAAAGTGGCAATGACTTCCCAGATTAATAATCCTTTTATTATTAACATTTAAGAATGATGGTTTCAGAAAGTTCATTTTATTAAGTGTCCCCATAAACGTGGGGTTTTTAATATTTAAAAATACCCAACTTTTACAATTTCAAGTTTCAGTGCTTTGAGCTACAGAAACAGGAGCATATAATAGTGAATTCCTCCAACATACTCAGTTCTCAAGGCAGAAGGAATACCAGAATTATTGAAGTTTGACCTCCTGTATAACATGAGTTTGGGGTTTCCCTGATTTAACCTCCATTTCAGTCCAGTAACTGGGGGATTTCCTTTAACAAAAACACCAATGCTGCTGTTTCATAGAACATAACCAACAAAATTAGCAAGCAGACGTACTACTTCTTGAGTTTCTTTTGAGCAGCCTTTTTCTTGACCATCTGCAACCTTTTCATAGCATTGAGCTGAGATTCCTGAGAAGTTGGGCCCTTTAGGGAGGCTGACTGATTACCAGTATCCGTGGTGGTTTTACTCGTGCCGCCCCCGCTGTTCCCTGAATTCCCGCTGTTGCCGTTCCCGCTGCTCCCCTGGCTGCTGGTGCTCGGCGCGGCACTGCTGGGACTCGGGAGACCCACTTTGCTGACGTTGTCGCTGCTCACTGAGCGGCTCAGGGTGGTTTTCCCCAGTGTCAGAGGTGGAGGAGGTTTCAGCTGAACAGGGTTTGTGCTGTTGTTGGCAGAAGCTATTTTTGACCCTAGTCCTGTTTTTGAAGTTGCCAACCCTGACAAACCCACAGGTTTCTGGTTATTTGAAGAAGCTGCTGGTTTCCCACTGGCACTCTGTGCTGTTGATCCCAGTTTGGCAGTTGATGGATTGGCAGAGGAGGTTTTGGCTGCAAAAGCAGCCCATCCTGTAAGGCCACTCGTTGCTGAAGAGGAAACACTTGTACTGGCAGAGTTCCCTGAAACTGCTGCTGAGGTCTAAAATAAAAAAGCATTCTTATTACAGTAGCATCTATTTGTGCAAGACATCACAGTATGAATACATCGAGCCTCTGTTTCAGTTCTTTTCCCAGGATCATCCAATGGACAATATTTCATCACTGCTTACTGCAGTTGAAAGTACTAACATGAACAAGAAAGGATGCCAGGTGCAGCCAACTTTTAATCTCCCAGCCACATGGAACAAATAATACCTTTTCTCCCCTTCCTTCTATACAGTTAGCAGGCTACCATACAGCATTGTGATCCCTCCATGAATAATAAAAGCCCAAATTTGTGAACTATATAAAAGGTAGTGGCTTGCCTTCCTTTTTTTTTTTTTTTTTAACTGTTGTTACCTGGTGTCACTTGTTAACAAGATGACAGATGCTTGGACAAAAATCAGACATTGAGCAATTTATTATTGCATTTATTACAGCCTTTTGGTCAAAGTAGCAGTATCTAAACTGTTTCCTTTCTCTCCCTTGGTTCTTAAAAGCCTGTACCACAGAGAGAATTATAAAAAAAAAAAAAAAAAAGTCACTGCACTTCTTTCCTGTAGGTCTCTTCCCATTCAGGTACTGCAAAACACAAGCCTTCTGCACACATGGGTTCCCTTGCTTGCAAAGTGCTATACACACTACCCGAGTTCCCACACCTTAAACCCTATAACCCCCAGGTTTCAGATGGGGATGATATGTTGTGTTATTAAACCAGAGTTACAGCAAACAGCAGAGTTAAAATGAAAACTAAACCCCTCTATTTAAGTAATATCCCTTTTACAGTATTTCTGGAGAGTTTCGAAACAGTAAAGATGACGGATGAAATCAGGCCTCAGGTCTAACAACCCATTTAGGCAAATAAATAAGTCTGCTGAAGTGAAAAAAGTATTCTCAAGTATAGGAGCTTCAGCAATACCCATCATATTATTCATGATGGTTTGCATCCAGGCAGAGCAATGGCAAACATAACTCTGAGCGCATGAATAGTTGCTTTGATTTTGAGTTCAAGCTGTGTTTTCCTAGGTAAGGGTCACGCTTTATTAGACTGCTATGTTTTTTACTATACTGCCTCTGGTTTACCACCTTTGAGAAACTTGTGACAGTATTTTAACTTGGGAAAAACAGAAATAGAAGCAACATAGAACCACGGAATAGAATCACAGAATGGTTTGGGTTGGAAGGGACCTTGAAGGTCATCTAGTTCCAACGCCCCTGCCCACGCTACCCACTAGATCAAATTATGTGTAAGAAGCAGCAGTCTCCTAAATTAGATATCAGAGTCAGCTAGAGTTTCCCTATTGTAGACTCACAGAACTGTCTAGGCCAGAAAAGACCTTCAAGATCATCAACTCAAAGTGTAAACCCAGCACGTCCAAGTCGACTGTTATCAGGAAGAAAAGCCTAACTGTTAAAATACACAGGTTACTTGACCACAGAGACCAAATAATATATTTTCTATGATTCATAGAATCATAGAATGGTTTGGGTTGGAAGGGACTTTAAAGATCACCTAGTTCCAACCTCCCTGCTGTGGGCAGGGACACCTTCTACTAGACCAGGTTGCTCAAAGCCCCATCCAACCTGACCTTGAAAAAATGCAGGGATGGAGCATCCACACGTTCTCTGGGTAACCTGTTCTGGCGGTTCATCACCCTCACAATACAGAATTTCCTCCTAACATATAACCTAAATTTATCCTCTTGCAGTTTAAAACCATTCCCCCTTGTCCCATCACTACATTTCCTTGTGAAAAGTCCCTCTCCAGCCTTCCTATAGGTCCCTTTTAGGTACTGGAAGGGCCCCTGGAGCCTTCTCTTCTCCATGCTGAACAGAGCTCTCAGTCTGTTTTCACAGGAGAGGCTCCAGCCCTTCCCAGCTCCTTTCAGCAGTCTCCTTTGGACCTGCTCTAACAGGTCCATGTCTTTCCTGCTGAGACAGCTGGACACAGTAGTTCAGGCAGGGGCTCACAAAAGTGGAGTAGAGGTGCAGAATCACCTCCCTCAACGTGCTGCTGAGCCAGCTTCTTATGATGCAGCCCAGGATATGGCTGGCCTTCTAGGCTGCCAGGGCACATTTATAAAGATTTCTACTTGTATAAAATATCATTAAAAAAATTCATAGCATCAGTTCTGTTCTTTCCCTTGTAACATAAAAATACAGTCAAGAGCTGGACGTTTTAGGGATTTACTGGTGAAGTGAGGGTTTTTTCCCTGTTCTTTCAGTGTTAATGCTATGGTGCTGCTCAGTCTGAATTGTTTTCATTCATGATTCTTGTGAGAAAAGATTATAATCTATGCAGTGAAACATAAACTTTTCCTCTGGCAAATTTAAACTACATTACCTTGACTTCTGTTCTCTTGAATGCTAGAAAAGCTGGTGGGGTCTCAGGTTTTAACTTAATTTCTGGCTTCTTGACCAATGGATCCTTCAAAGCTGGTGCAACTGAAACCACTGCAGGAGCTGGTTTCTGAGGTGGCTTTTGTGTCTTCTGAGCCTGCAAAAGCGGTACGAAAAAACCACGCCAAATTAGTTACAGACCCTATAACACTGACTGTTTTGACTGTTAACAAAAAGCATGAGCATTTTAAGATTGCAATCTAGTCTTTACAACTTCAAGTTTAATGGTCCATGAGAAATGAGGTAATAGGGGATGTGGAGATAGTGCTGGTTATGGTATTGGAGACAGGGTCCAGCCACAAAGCATCCTGAACAGAACTTGCTATTTCAGCGTGGGAAGAGTTGCAGTGGTGACACTTAGAGAACAGGAAAGCACTGGGCCTTTACAGGAATAAGGTAAAGGAAGGTGAACTTGCAGAAGAAAGGGACATAATCCAGCAGCACTGGGATGTAGGCTGCAAGAGCCTGCTAAGAAGTGGCAGGCAAAATGGCAGAATTCATGCCAAAAAGGAAAGGTCATATTGAAGGCAACTATTGAATGGCTGCAATCGCTATCCTGTGCAGGCACTGACCTTCAGCAAACACTCCTCTGAGTTCAAAAGCCAGATGATCATCAGAATAATCATGTATTTCAGTCAGTGATGATAATTCCTAGGCCAGGATCTTACATTCCCTTTTTTTCTTGTTTCTTAGTAGAGCCATTTCAAAAGATAACAACTTGCTAAGTTATCACAGAGCAGTTTCAAAACACACTTTCTGCTGTACAAAAGGGTGTGATTTTAAAACATTGGAACTAAAGTCACTAATGTTTCATGCACCCAAGGTGCTGTCTTACTCTCCTATTCATTTCTCATAATGAGACGAGTGCAATTCCAGTGGGATCCTGTTTAGTCAAGAAATTAACATGGAGATCAATCAAAATAAAGATTTTAATTTTTTTTTTTTACTGGAATGTGCTACCCTCAGCTTGTTTTTGAGCCTGAGAACACTCAATGCTTGAGATCTGGACTGAAATTTGCAGTCTTGTCCTACAGGAAAGCAACCATTAATGTCCAAAGCTGAGAAGAAAACTAAAACTGTAAGGCTAATTGGTAGACATATGCTAAAAACTGAGTATCACCCGAAATAAAGAAAATAAAAAGTTTCCACTGCTGCCTGCCAAGTAGGAAATAATCCTATTTCACTCTTCTTCACTCAACTTTTCATTTTTAAAAAACGTTTTTTAAGAAGCACATTGCAGAATGCTCTTTGAGATGCTACATTAAAAAACACACCTGCAGCAAGGGAAGCACTGCTGAGAAAAACAGTTTTCCAACATGCTTCCTAAGATTTCTCTAACCCATAAAATACTCTCACATAGTAGAAATAGCCTGCTGTATTCAAATAGTGCTCACACGAGACAAAAAACTGACTCCTACCATTCTCTTCATCTGCCTGGTACAGCGGGCACAATACCATACAAGTCGAGGATCATTCACTTCCTTGTCTGTCACCTGAGGTTTATGGCAATCCTGGTGGTAGAGATTATGGCACTCCTGACACTCCACTAGCTGATTCACAAAAGTAACTGTCATTTGCCTGCAGAGCAAATAGTTAAGAACAGATTATGGAAGAAAGCACTTAGAGGATTATCCAATTGTTGAAAATTTTGCAAGGCTTAAGATAAAAATTAAAAATATTTTTGCTTTCGCATATATTTCCTACCTTTGGCAAATGAAATGTATTCCTTTTCTTCCTGTATCAGCTCTTCCTAACTAATATTTTAGAAACTTGATATTTTTAAAAGGTAATTTTTTTCAAGAATATCTAAAACTTTCACAATATTAAACATCTGTATGACAGTTTTGATTTCTCTGATTTTTATATTAGAAATATAAGTCTTGTCTGCTTTGCTTCACCTGGGCATTTTATGGATACATCACTCTATAACAAACATGACTTCCTCATTATATTAGTATATGAAGGCCTAGTCTCCATTTGTACAATTCTGCTGTAAGCTTTAGAGCAATACAGTTCAAAAACAATTAACTTCTCAACGACAAGCCAGTAAGAGTGCTTTCTGCTACAGGATTTGAAAGCATCATCATCCAAGCTCTCCACTACTTTGAAGATGTCTTATTAGCCATCCTTTTGGTCCCTACTACACAAACAGACACGTGGAATTTGAGATAATACCAGAGTCATGGAAAGATGGAATAGAAAGGATTAATTGTGCAGTCCTGCCTTGAAGCAAACATGCAAGCTGGTGATGAGGACTTCATTTTGCATGGGCCTCTGTTGACAGTAATCATGCTGTATAAATGATAAATTAGTGATATATACATGACTGGGAGTCTGCCTGTGAATTAGCCAAATACCATTTTCTTAATGATTTCTTCTTTCAGAGGACAAATCAAGCTATTTAATTGCTAAGCTGCTTTTGCTCATATCCCTGAGGAGCAGGTACCCAGGTAACCATGGAAACTCTATTTGTAGATGGGTGGGGAAAGGTAATCCCTTATTTCTTTATATAACAGAAAAATGAAGTCTGATACTACAACATTTTCTAAGAAATATTTCTCTTTTACACAGGCAATTTAAAAACAGAGGGAGAAACCTTTCTGAAATTCCAGGGTCCATTATTCTACATGTAGGATATTTGAAAGACATTTTGTTTGTTTCTCATTCCTAAATAAACTGGATCAGAACAAAGCAGTGATTTTTCAACCTCATGTGTCAAGGTGGGAGACTCACCCTATTATAAAATTACAAAGAACAATCTCAGACTGATTAAAAAGTCAGGAAAACTTCATGATCAGAAACAAGCTAAACCACTTACTTTTAAATTATAAGATAACTAAGAAACAAGCCTAACAATTTTTTACCATCAAAAAACAAACAAAAAGGTATTAACAAAAAATTTGAAATTTTGTTATTTCCAGCCCAGTGTTTTTTAAAGATTTTTCTGGGATGAAAACTTCACAATCATCTACAAACTGCATACAGTATTTCCTCTTCATATAACTGAGGAGCCATGTAACTGGTGGGTCCTGTTTTTGCAAGACCTACAAGTACCAGAGAAGTTGAAGTTATTTTAATATTCTCTCCCTCCTTATGCCTAAATTGGCATAACAGAACAAGGACAAAAACACAATAGGCATCAACGTGCAATACTCGTAATCACTGTGAAAATACATTTGACACTTGGCAAATCTTGAAGAAACATTTCATGTCTCTGCTTTAGTTTTTACATCTATAAAAAGGAATAGTTAATATTCGAATGCACTTTTTGCATTTGTGAACTCACAGCTGGGTTCTTGTCAACTTGTCTTCTTAAGCAATGTAAATATAAACTCTTTTGCTATGAACTCCACCTACTCTGCAATTGGACATGATGTTTTCATTCACAACTGGTTGAATAATTGAGTTATTAGAAGATGCCATTTTAAAAATACTATTCATACTTGAGTTATTTTACAGAGTATCCAGTGCTTTTATTCTTCATATGTATGGGGATATTATTATTTTGGCTCAAGATGGTCACCCCAAAAACAGTGCACATATTGAAAGTGAGCAGTAAATAGAGGAATACTGTCTGACCAATGTGTTTGAGTCAGAACTCTGAAGCACAAATCCTCTTAAAAGCATCTGGTTCAGCACGAGGTGGAGGTGAAGAACCATGTGACATCAGTCTCAGCAAGTTCTGTGTAAAATGAAAGTGATCCTGAGTGTCAGGGTGACTGTTGCTACCCCCTCTCCAATGGGCTGTTTCTTTCCCTGCAGTACTTCTCCCTCCCTCTGGCACCAGTTAATGAGAGCTATTTTAGTTAGCCAGGGCAGAAAACTCTTTTGCAAGAACAATTGAGTTGGTGATCATGAGCATGTAGAAGTAACACCTTCAGCAGCCAGGTTAAACATTGATTGTGGAACACCCAATGGAACCACATACCCGGCCTGTGCTTTTCAAAGCAAAGTCTTGGCCATGCTGGGCACAGGAGTTGCATTTTCTTTAGTTTCTTTACTTTGCAGGCATTTCTCATTATGCCTGTATGTGTTTTTTTGCCAGGGAAGACAGAAAATTAATAATCCACAACAGCTCAAGACTGTCTAAAAAAAACTTTTTGTTATCCCTTCCTGCCAAATAACTTAATACCATACTATTCTTAGTAGCATTTTAACATACCACCAAATGGGGATTTGCCCCTTTTAGGGGACAGAAAAAGTGGAATTTAAAGGAAAAAAAGGTAAAATTGAGATATTTATTTCATACTTCTTCCTTTTTCAGTGTCTCTATTAAGAAACTAAACATTTGAGCTAACATATGGAAATAATGTGACATGAAATCTCATCAGTCCACAACTGGTTACCAGTATAATTAGCTGCAACTACAGAAATTTATCATCCCTGGACTGCAGTTGCCTCCTTACCTACACAACAGGAATGACCATGAAAATGATGGAACAACGAAGTTATAAAGCCCAGTTTCACAAATGACTTAAGCTGAGCTGAAATACATACTTGCTACTGAAAGGCCAGTTCCAACCCCTTCTCTGTCCTGGCTCTACATTCTTGTATCCACACATGTGCCAACACAAGCATTTACTCTCACTAAGCTGACTGAAACCTAAACCTACTGAAAAACCCAAGTGGAAAGCTGATCCAGAAGCTGATTCAGCTCATCACAAAACTCTGTGTGCAATACATCCCCTAAACAGTACAGGGAAGGAGGTATAACTGGGAGAGCCAAACTGCTCCTTTTGGCAGCAGTGGGGGCTTAACAAGGACATAAATAATCTGTGAAACCAAATCCTGGTTTGAGTGATTTGATCCTAGGGTAGATATTCAGAAGTGAATTTTATACTTCTGTTAACACTAAATGTACTGCTAGCACAATGCTAATAAATCCAATTTTAGAGCCCTTACTGGAAAGTAAAAAGAACCTGTCTTCACTGCAAGATGTATTTACTGAGAAAACATGGCTATGTGTAAATTAATGTCAAATGATTAGGAAAAGAGGAGCAACACATATACATCTCATAATAATGCCACTTACAAATGTTTTCAGAAGAGAAGTGATTTTTTAAAATGCTTATCATTAGCTGTTAATACTTTAACTTACTTTCCAATAATTAAAAACTGGTATTTGTCATGATAGGTTTTGCATCATGTTTAGTTTTATTTTTCACTTGCCTTTTCCTTAAGAAAAGCTGTTTTTCTCATTAAAAGTTCTATTTTCAAGAAACTACTCTTATTCATTATCAACTTTGGATATGCGTTTAAGTGATTTCCAGAATAAAAACTAAAAGAAGCATTAACTTAATGGTACACATTAAAAAAAAAAAGGTAACTACCTAGCAATGAAGCAACATTAACTTACCTGCAAACAACACAGGCCAATCCCATTTCCATAGCAAAGTCATCAGCACTGGTTTCCTCAAAGCTAGATAAATCAGGCATGGATAAATCCTTGCTCGTCTGAACTGTAATAGGAGAGGAACGAGCCTCTTGCTTCTCTACTTTGGGCTTCTTTGGTGCATCAGCTCCTTCAGCAGTATCCCCTTTTGTCTATTAAACACATACAGAATGTGAAAACTCAAAATGCTAGTAGATACTATTAAAATGAGAAAATAATTGGCACAATTAGATTAGAAGTATAAGAAAGTATGCTTTACAGAGGACACACACAATGTATTTTCTTTAATTACATATTTTCTTCAAAATATTTACGAACTAGAACCTCAAGCCCACTTTTTGTACTTCACCTCAAAATCCCTGAAAAAGCTTTGGGAAACCCACATTTCAATTTGCTACATTTTAGTACCTTGTTATTATCAGGATGATTCAAAACAGAGAATCACAGAATGATTTGGCTTGGAAGAGACCTTTAAAGGTCATGAAATCTAACTCCCCCTGCACTGAGAAGGGAAAACAATCACAGAATAATTATAAGAAGACTTTTGTTGGAGTGCCTAAAGACATGATTGGCTAATGCAGCTCACAGGTTATGCACCACTAGATGAGTTGAGCTACAGAGACTGAAAAGGGAACCTTCTGTCTAAAACACCTTCGAGGTTATATACCAAGTTATCTCATTAGAGAACAAAAATCACTTACTTTATCAGCAGATCTCTTTTCTGTTTCTTTTTTCACCTTTTCTGATGCAGTGGGCTTGCCATTGTTGTTGCCAGAGGGCAAACTAGAAGAAGTTTTAGGCTCTTGCTTAATAGGTTTGGTAACAGATACTTTTGGTTGCTCGGCTTCCTAAAAACAGAAACAAAAATTGAAGGCAAACCCTACATTCGAGATACTTCCCAGTTTGCAATTAGTTAGATACCAGGATAGGCAAACAACATACAACACCAATCATCTACACACACTTTTTAAAAAAAACATTTCTTAAATATCTTCATACCATGTCAATAAATTAGTGTGCATAAGTTGCAGACAACTAGTAAAACCTCCCCTTACCACTCACCTTCCGGAGGGAAAGGTGCTCCTTTTCCAAAGACAGATCCTCTTTGGAACATTAATTAAAAAGGAAGACATTTCTGCTTTTAAAATTCAAAGAGATAATGAACACAAATTTTCAGATAATTCTGAGGACAAAATTTAATATAAGCTGAAAACATAACCCGACATCTGATGTAACCAGACATCAATACTTCATTCCTTCATGGAGAAAAATATTGACCTCTGCTGAATCTCAGTCCATATTCATCTAGCAGATGAATAAATTTAGATCTCAACAGGAATCAATAGTTCTCATTAATGATGCCTTAAGGTCGGCAATGGACAATAACCAAGAGAGTCTGTGAATGAGTGATTAATCACACTAATGCACAGGAGCAAGGTACCCCCTCTCAGCTGGTAAGAAGGCAGTAATTCCCTGCTCTGTACTGGGACAGGTCCTAAGCCCTGAGCTTCAGCTCTCTGAAGTTTGTTGACTTCCTTCCAGGGTTGCATCCTCATTTGCCTGACTGTGGTAACTCTGTGCTCCCTACTCTGTTCTTGGATTTCATGGTCAACCATAAATTAGTCCTGCAGCCTTATAAGAATGCAAGGAAAGAAACCATTACATTTTTTTTCATTTCTGAGCTTTGCAATCCAGCTGATAATGGAGACATACTAAAAAGAAGAGAACAAAAGATTTCTTCCTCTGGCCTGAGCTTCAGTTTCACCTGAGGGCAGGTGACTGCCAGTCAAGCTGTTATTAGAATTGGCTTCCCAAGCCTCTTTGCACTATTATTGATCTCTCTGCTTCCTCTTTAAACCACAAATCGCTTCTTTGAGCTCTGAGGGCACTCGAGAGTTTTGAGACCTGTGTTAGGGGGAACTGCAGTTTAGGTTTCAGGGAGCTGAACAGAAAGGAGTTAGACCACATCGTACAAGCATGATATATGCTGAGCAGTAATAATGCCTTTTAGTTATTTGGAACCACATAGATGTAGAAATGAAATATTACTGATGTATCAGCATACAGACCACCATTATAACATACCAGGTTGACTTCCAGGCATCCTAGGGGAGAACACTACCTCGTTATCTATATGGCAATATGTAGCAGTATGAGGATGTCCCCACTTGGTTATTTCCATTCACTAATTTGGATTCAAATAGTCCCTCTAGCAGGTGTTCAGTGATTTCAGTAGATGAAAAATAATGTTTGTCCATTGGATGGCAATGGTTCCAGACTGCAAATCATTTCTGCTTTGAACCATTTTGTGTTTTTCATTCTCATATGATTTCATCAACAGAATTTCATGGAAAGAGACCCAGCTTTATCAGTAAATAGCTCATTCTGTTTCATATTTATCTGTGGCAAAAGTAATCGGCATTTTAAAGACCTTTTAGCTCTGAAATGTAACTGCAGAAATATGTAAGTTTGGGTTCACCTTACATAGCATGTCGGATATAATGCTGAATATCTCTTTTAAAGGTCTTCGTATATCAACAAGGTAGAGATTTTTTTCCCCATTAACTTCTGTTAATTGAATAGATTATTTTGCATAAAAGGGTAATGATGAATATGAACATTCCATGATTACTTTTTCTTTTTCCTAAACTTCTGATTCTCTTTTAACTTTCCAGCTATAAAAGAGGAACTAGGAATAGAAGGAGATCTGTAAAGGCACACAAAACTGACCCATGCTCTCTAACACCAATACCTTCTGAGATGGACGATAGCTTGACTCAGTTCCTCTGGCCAAAGACTCATCAAGAAGTGCTTTCAGCTTTTCTGCAGAGTCCTTACTCTTTGAATGCAAGAAGCCCAGGGCTTTCAGAAAAATGGGATCAAGCTCCAAGTTCACTGTAGCAGCCATAGTGGTGTCTTCAGAGGGAGTATGAATGAAAAAAAAAAACAAAACAAAAAACAAACAAATAAAGAAAATCAATGACAACTTTATTCATCTGGAGCATAACTCAAACAGTATGTGGCTAACAGAAGATCTATTCTTTTTGCAAAATGGAATGACATTAAATCACAGTAAGGATGATATGTGAATTAATTATCACTAGAAGATGACTGATTGTGAACTCTAGAGTTGCAAAACTTGAATTTGACTTTACATCTGAAATTATGTCAAATTAATTCTTTGGCATATCTGATATTCAGAAACTAAACTCATCCCACTCAGGTAAATGAAACAAATATTTCATATTCTTGATACTCCATACATCAAGAATATTGAAAAGTATGCAAAACAAGTGTCAACTTCAAGGAAGCAATTACTACTCTTCTCCTCAACATTATTTGCACATACAGTTATTTCTAACTCATGGTTTGTTTAAGAGTAACTAAAAAATCTTACTTGTAGAAAAATTAACTTTTGAAACTTCTGACAAAAAGCCAGCTCATTGTAGCATACAATATAAGATAAAACAGCTAGTGTATTATTTTATACAAATACCTGAAAAAACACCCTACCCATTTTTAAATTTAGCTGGAACAGTGAGAAAATTTATAACTTAGACTGTGATTTAACCACGCCCCCATGTGACAGTCTGAGTTTTAATGTCAAGTAATGACTATCCACGGCTTCAATATGCCACAGTGACAATGTAAATGGAACAAAGTGAGAAAAAGGTTAGAACTAATTAAAAAAAAATATGTTTGCTTCAGAGTAACACATTCTGGCCCTCTGGAACCTTCTCAGTTCATTTCTTTAACAAAAGCTCTAAGGAACTGCATTTACATTGGAAACTGTACTTAAAAAGATCTCACTTAATCAGTAATTGACAATTAATAATTTAAGAAATAAGTGGGAAGTTATGGGAACACATCAGGATGCTTTATGGTTTTGTTTGGTTTTGGTTTTTTGGTTTTTGTACACAATAATCTAGAAGATGTTCTTGAAAAGCCTTTCATCAGTTCTGCTCAAAAGCACTGGACAGCTTTTTCAGCTGGAGCTTCCAAGGTTTTGTCTGATTAATTAATTCCTTTTGATATTCATGGCAGTGAACTTTTACCTCTCTGGTCAAAACACCAGCAGTGGCAGCCTGCTCCCTTAACACTTGCCTAGAAGTCCCTAGGAACCTTTATCTCATGCTGAGCTTTCACGAGACACCAGAGAATCACTTGACTGAGATCATCAAGGAGTTCAACATACAGTAGACTTCATAGGGATTTTATCAATGGACCCAGCAGAGAGTTAAGAATCCTCTTCAAGAGCCTCTTCTCTCTTCCTTAATCTTTGCTACTTGACAAATCGTTTTCTGGTGGCCACAGAACTTCTGCTAGTAATACTACCCACCAGTTACTCTGCTTTTTCACTGATCAAGCAGAGACTGCAGTGAAAGCCCCATCCAGACAATTCAGTCTCTCTCTGATGATTACAAAAAGTGAATCCACAGTGCATGGAAAGCACATACCCCTTTTTTAATGCATCTACCTCTAATAGATGCTCAAGCTGCTCTCAAGATCTGTGGGTAGGTTATCTCCTCCATTTCTTTGTTCTGTGAATATGCCTTTTACAAGAGTCAGTACCACACACTCTTAAACCAGGACTCTGCTAAACCCTCTGTTGAATGAAAGTTGAATCAAAACACTTATTTCAAAAATTTTGTAGAATTCCCTGCTAAAAAACAATACTTTCAGTTCTTCTCTGAGACTTCTACTAGGAATACACATTTGTCTACAGGAAGAACAGGTAGCCAAACAGTCATTAGCAGCCAATTCAGGATGCCTGTAATATTTAGAGAACAAGTATAAACACACTAATTCAATTTTCATCTAGCTGAAGATTTCTTTCTAGCTCTAGCTTTTTAAAGACTTATACTGAAAGGAACTGTTAAACCCCAAATTTCAAGAGGGTTCACTGTATTTATTCTTTTATTTGCTATGAAATTGCAGCAATTCTTTCTTTATTCTTGAGGGTAAATTTTAATGTCATAGGCTACTTCAGTTACAACCAATATCACAAGAAATTTCTCAAGAGAAGGGAAGGAACTAGGCTTATTAAACAGTTCAAGTATGCTCAGCTTAGGCATGTATTTTCAAATTAAAAAAAAAAAATCTATTTGTGATTTAGAGGAAGTCTATTCAATGGGAAGATGAACACATCAAGAGCTGTCTTAAAAATAGCATCACCTGAAAAAAGTAAATTGATAATTATGCTCTCCTTACTGGACCATAACAACACAACTGCCAAACAGACTAACATCAGTAACTGACCTGGTCCAAAAGGCAAATTATTGCTTCTGGTAGTAGCCCTTTCCAGATGTTTACAGATCAAACAGTTTTCAAGTATAAAACAGTGGTTTGACACTTATAAACCTAAGATCCAACTACATTCATTCATGTTTTCAATCATAAACTGCTCCTCGGGCAGTGGAAGCAGCATACAGCAATGTGATAGCCTTGAGATAAGGACAGCAGAGTGTTCTAACAGTGATGCCATAGGCTGTTCTGCAAGACAGACCTTGACTTTCTTCTTGAAGGGGAATCTTTGTACAAGAAATAATTCAAATGCTGTTCAGGAAAAAAAAGTATGGCACTGTCTTTTCCTTAGCAGTTTGACAACTCAGCTGTGAAATTAGATGACTGTGCTAAAAAATAACCCAGAGCAGAACTGGTTTTGCTCAAAGCAAGTGCACCCTTCTTGCAACTCAGCATTCAGCCATCAGCCTAGCCCTAAAAGCACCTTTCTCAGATTAGGTCTCTGTTTGGTACTTCTTCACTATTATATAAAGAACTGTTTGATGATGGATACACAAGACCAAACGTAAGGCAACAAAACTCCCTGAAGTATTGGAGATTATATTAAGAATCCTACAACGAACAATCATGGAGTAGCTTCCCAACGTGTACTATTCGAAGTGGTTTAAATCCCTGTGGGGAAAAATAATGCTAATTAGTAGGTTGTTATTTTTAAAACATCCAAGAATTTTTGGATTCTCTCATTTCTTGAGCATACTTTGTTCTTCTGCCAAATACATACAAGTTTAATGGAGCACTATAGAGAATACATGGTCCTCCAATTTAATAGACTTATTAGATTTCTAAGATCTTAAGAAAAAAAGAGCCCTCTTTTTTTTTATTTATTTGCCATCTACTATGTTGCATACCTACACATCTATTATCTTATTCATTATAACTTGCAGTTAAAGGGATCTACTTCCATTACACTTTTAGATATGGTCGTATTTTTATCCATCTGTTTCTGAACTCCTGTTTCTATTATTTTCTGAGACAAGTGTACTACTGAAGATATTTTTCCAAGAAAGCACACACCTTCAATTTATATTGCAATGCTATTATCAAACCCATTCTTTTATAAACTCGGAAATATTTTTATTTTTCACTGACACTGATGATTAAAAGGACTTCCACTCACATATCCTTTTCAGCTACCTTCAACATATGTAGCAGTAAACTTAAAACCTAGTCACATGAAACAACAGCACATAATTCCTGCCAACACACTCACTGCACTGTGTTTATCAATAATTAATTTATCATAATATCAATTCACTTTCTCCCTCCCCTTTAGATTCTTCCATTCCTCAGAACTTACTCTCTTCCTGACTAATCAGTGACAGTGGCAGATTTTGCTTATTTACCAATAATACCTTTTCCAGATCACTTCCAGATGTAATGTAAACCTTAAGAAAGTAGATCAAGGAAAATCTTAAAAGCAGGAAAAAACAAACTTCTGTTTTCAGTTTTTGCTTTTGTATCTTAATCAAGACTTGATTTATGACAGCATAATTTCTCAGTTACCTTCCACAAGGGACATTTCAAAACTCACACACTTCAGTAGTCTGGAAAACTGTATTAATCAGTTCTCATTTATCTGTTATCTTCTGCAAAGAATCTTCTAAGACTAGAGTAAAATTTCCTGCTATGTAGTTACTAGTACTGGTATCCTTAATTTTACATTCTATTCCACACCATATTTTATAATATACTTTAAAATTAATATTTCAATCAATATCGCCGTAATCCATTTATCCAAAATGTCTAAGATTACACTATTTGCCATTTTCTCCTCAGAAATAACGAATTATTTAAGAATCACAGAATCATTTAGTGTGTAAGGGCTGTCACATGGTCACCCTGTGCAATCTCCTGTTCAAAGTGAAGTCAACACTGAATTCAGATCAATTTGCCCAGGACTTTTCCAGCTGGATCCTGAAAACCTCCAAATACAGGAATGTGAAAAACCTTATGGGCAACCTGTCCCAATGCCTCACTACCCCCATTTCCTTGCTTGGAATTGGAAGTTCTAACTTGTGCTGTCTCTCATTCCCCCTCAAAGCATCTGACTACAAAGACTAGCTCTATCTTTTCAAAAACCTCCCTAGATTTATAAAGGCTTCCATTAGGTCCCCTTAAGCCCCTGGCAGATGGCATCCAACACTTCCTTCACCTTCAGATCTAGCTATTTTGCCACAGGGGACAAGCCAGGTAGTCAGGCATGACTTATCCTTGGTAGATCTCGAGATGGCTATCCCTAGTCTCCACCTGCTCCTCCTTATGCCTACAAATGGCCTCCTCCATGATCTTTCCAGATGGAAGCAGTAAGGCCTGTAGTTGTCTTGCTAGTCCCTCTTGCCCTTTTTGGAAGATGAGCATAAAATTTGCCTTTCTCCAGTCTTTGGGATCTCCCCAGTCTCATGGCCTTTAAAAGATGACAAAAAGCAGCTCTGTGAACATGGACCTGAAGATGGTGTTTCAACACGTGCCACTGCTCGTTGGTTTAAGTCACTGGCAAATTGAGTTTACCTCCACTACTGTTTTCACCTTTCCTTAATCCAGTGTATACTGAAATTTATCAAGCTCACAAATTCCTGGGTATCATCCTCTTGGAAACTTCTTGGTGACAAAATCAAACCTTAGTTAAAATGGAATTTCTGAAATAGTTACACCAAAGCCACAACACAACCCTCTGCAACCTACTTGCTGCAAATCTCTCCCTGAGACTTCCCTTTAGGAATGCACAAAACGCCTCTCCCCTGAAAGCAACACTTAAAATGTTTAAGATAATATGAAGCCACCCACCCTCCTGCTCCCGTTACCGCCCTGCACCGAGTTGCTCAGGGCAGCGGCTCCGGAGGTGCCCTGTGCCCGGGAGGGACCGTCCTGGCACCCACCGGGACAGCGCGGCGGCCGCCGCCCCTCCCAGCCCCACAGGAGACCCACAGCTCACCCCGGGTCCGAGGGTAAGAGCCGCCAAATGTGGTGTGGGCTCCACTCTTCCTCCTCCCCAAACCCTTCTTCCTCCCTCCCCCCAAACCGCCTCTTCCTTCCTCCTTCCCCCCAAACCCCCTCTTCCCCGCTCCTCCCAAATCCCTCTTCCTCCTTCCTCTTCCCAAACTCCCCCTTCCTCTTCCCAAACACCTTCTCCACCGTTTTCCTCCTTCCTAAACCCTTCTTCCTCCCTCTTCCCAAGCCCTTTCTTCCTCCTCCCAAACCCCTTCTTCCCCTCCCAAACCCCTTCTTCCCCTCCCAAACCCCTTCTTCCCCTCCCAAACCCCTTCTTCCCCTCCCAAACCCCTTCTTCCGCTCCCCAAACCTCTTCTTTCTCTTCCCTCTTCCTCCTTCCCAAACCCGTCCTCCTCCCTCCTCCCAGACCCCCCCTTTCTTTCTCCCAAGCCACTCTTTCCTCCTCCCAAACCCCCTCTTCCCCTCTTTCTTCTCCCAGACCCCCTCTTCCCGATCCCCGTAGAGCCGCCCGCTGGGGTCTCACCGGAGGCGAGGAGGAGGAGGAGGAGAAGAGGAGGAAGGAGGAGGAGGAAGGCGCACAGGCGGGTCCGCCGCCACGCCGGTCCCCCGCGCCCCGAGGCCGGCGGGCGGCAGTTCCGGGCGGTGCGCGGGGCCGGGGCAGGAAGGGGCGGAGCCGGGGCGGACGCGGCCGGGCCGGGTAAGGAAAATAGACCGAAAAGAGGGAAAGCGGTCGGACTTAATCCCCGGGTCCGGTTTTGCTGGGGTGGCAGAGCGCTGAGAGGAGCTGGGAGCAGCGGTTTTGTGGAGCGGGTCTGTGAGGGAGTTCTAGCTCGGCCGTGTTGTTCTCTGCGACAGCCGAGTTCCAGCGCGCTGCCTCCCTGAGTTCTGGTTCTGTTCTTCGTAGCCAGTGTCCTGCCTTCTTAAACCATCCACAACTTCCACTTTATTGGTAGACCTGTCTGAAGCTCTTCATGAAAAGCTTCTGGGCTCCCTCGCGGGTGCAGTGGTGGCTCTGGACTCATACAGCAAATGGATCATCTGAATAGAAATATATTCTCCAAAGTTATGTGCCTTAAGGCACACATATTGCTTTGCACTAATTTAAATATTTGTTGCGTTTTTAAATGACATTATATTGAACGTTTCTCAAGCCTTAATGCATCTGCTTTAGCAAAAGTTCTGTGTTACCCTGTAGTAATCATCAAATGAATATCTTTTTCATTCTGAAAGGAATGAATTTCACTCAAACTGAAAGGAAGAGGATGCTTATGTACTTACTTATTAATTTTGAATTTTTTAGTTTTTCATTTTCACAGGAAATGCTTGTTTTTAAAGCAGTTATTTTCTTTATTACATTGTTAACGCAGCAGCTGAGTGAAACTAATTAATCTGTCGTTTAGTGCATGTTGAAAGGAAGAGAAAATGGTAAAAACCGGTACAGTTGGCGAACATTATACTTACATAGTGTTTATTGCTTTAAATAGCCACAGTGACTTTTATACCAAAGGTAGACAACATTATTTATCTTGTCTTTACGTTATTTTGCAAATCCTGTATTGGTCATTGCTTCTCGTTTCCCCTCTTTCAGATAGTGGCTATTGTAAATAAGGCCAGTGGAATAAAAAGCCACCTCTTCCCACAGAATTTATAGTCTAATTAGAGAAAAAAGTGCTGGGAAAAACGTTTTGAGCAAATAGTGCGATGTCGTGTTAGATTTTGTCAATTTTGCCTTGCATGTTTTGTTTTATTGTGTAGGTCTGTGTCTGCTTTTGTCTTAGTAAGCTGCCAAGGGATTAATCAATGTATCACATTTAATGGAAGGGTAGCAGTTAAGTGAAAACACTTCAATGAGAACAGGCAGCCAGGTGGGCTATTGAGACGAAAGGCTGTGCATAAATTCACAAGGAAGGTAGACTCTGCAGAGCCAAAACAGTGTGGAAAACCACCTGTCTTGGGAACAAAAAAATACAGGGAACAACTTTGTAAATGTCATTGCTTAGAGTCAAGATGTTAGGAGGAATTCTCTGAAGTAAAATATGGGAGAGGGGTAGGATATGACAGTGTAAGGGTGTAGAGTTTGGTTGAGGTGACAATTCAAGGTGGCCTTATCTTCTCACAGGAAACAGTACAGAAACACAGGTAAAGTCACTTATGGGCAGATTGGTATGGTTTCTCTTCTGTGAGAGACTGGAGAATAAAATTAACCTGACTGTAATTTTCCTTGTCACAGACTGGCCTTAGAAAAACCCAAAATCTCACAACCAACCAAACAACAAATCCTTTAAGAAAAATGTTTAATTTTTAGGTTTTCCTGTGTGACAGTGAACTAAAAATTCTCTTTGTGCTTCTATTTTTTCACATGTATAATGGTAACACAGGAAACTTGCACCTTGCAAGGCTTTTTGGGAGACATTCAGTTACTGTTGTGATGAAGGGACATAGAGGTTTTTACAACCAGCAGTACAAATAAATACAGACTGAATGCTTTGCTATTCTAATGAAATTTGTAAGGAGGTCATGCCAGAAGCCCATTTTGTTAAAATTACTTTTTTAAGTTCTTGTGGAAATTAAAGTATTAATTAATTGAAGTATTAGCTCTGTTGATGTTTTAAAGCTCAATGCAAAAAGCAGAGTGGGGTTTTCCAGTGCTTGCTCTCCTTACCTTTTAAAGTTTGTTCTCCTGGTCTGAAAAGTATGTAACTTTAAACATCCCTGTAGTTATTTCCTGTTCTTTGGGGCTTTGGGAAGAAAAAATGTAGTAGGATAGTGTATGAGAAGAATTTAGGACTATATTTTAAAATAGTGGAAGAGTATATTGCAAAGATGCCTTCAGGTCTGGTACCATAAGAACTTGGAGGATCAGGGCCTTTAGCTGAGAGAGATCTGATTGCCCATACAAACCAAAATGAATTGTGGTCATATAGATGATAAGAGATTAATTTGTCCAGGTCTGGAAATCGTTTGTGTATGTAAGTACCTATCCTCAGATTTAAGCCTGGTATTGTGAAATGTGCCATGTTCTTAATTCTCCCTGAAAACCAAAGAAATGAGATATTCGTATTTTTGCTATGAGAGCTGGAGTTGTCACCTTCTCTGGAATCTTTTCCACTGTTCAGTGTAAGATACTAGTTGCTTGCACTTTTTTTTTAGACCTTGGCAATTTACAGTTTGTTTTTATTTGGTTCAGAATTACTAAATGGAATAATTAATTGTTGTTGTATTGATACTGTCACTGTTTATGTGATTCCTTAAAAAAAAGAAATTCTCATAATATTGACCATAATACTAATCTTTGGATTTTCCCTTACTCCTCCTATGTGAGGAGAGTTTAATTAACTGAAACAGCAGTCTTAGCTTAACCCTTCTTCTCTCCCTTCACCTTGAATTAAATCCATCTCTAAAATTTTTATGAGTGCTTTACTAAGTAGATCATAAGTATCACTGTTTCTGTGTTCTTTTTGTCTTTGTAGAAGTTCATTTAGGTTCAGAAAAATAATTCAGTCTCTCTGTCGTGTCATACTCAGCTCATGTTGCAGCTGAGTAGTGGTAAATGACAGTGTATATTTACAAAAGTTAGTCTGAGTTTTGAGGAAGTTAGTAACCACCCTCAAACTGCCTAGTGCAGCTGTCTCCCAGAGGTTCTCTCTTCAAGGCATTTGGAAGAACAGACCTTTGCTGAATGTACCTTTTCTTCAGTACAAAATCCAGAGCTTTACCTAAAATGGTTGAGAGAACTAACTTGAAGTTATGATACTACAGACTAAATGAAATGGCCTGAATTCATATTCCCATTTTCTGACCCTGTAAAGAGAATGGAGTGGGTGGTTCTGGACTACATCTGCTTATCCTGCTTCAGCAAGATCCTAGTATTGGTTTATATGGTTTGCATGATTTTTGATAGTTTTATACTTGAGGATGAGAATGGTGTAATTTGACCAGAAATATTTCAAACTTAAAGAATACAGGTGGATTAATAGGATAGCATCAGCTGTGTTTACTGGGTTGAATACAAAGCAGGACAATGACCAACAAGTCATTATTTCCAGTAAGTTACTGTCTGTGGGACTGTCTGACAGCTGCTGTCTGTTACTCATTGCTACTGAGTAGAAGTGATTTTGTTCAACAGAATGGAGGAGAATTCACACTGAGGCTGTTTACCCCTTCATCTACCAGTTTTCAAGCAGTAGTACCTCTACTTGGGCATCTTTTAAATACTTATGTTTTATTTTTAGTCTAATGACACATTACCCTTTGTGGTGAGACAGTGCTTCAGAGCTGCTACTCTGGATGAAAGTGGGCAAGGGTCAGTGTACCTGTTGAGAGTACCTATGTGGTGAAAAGATTAATGTTTTATTTGGGCAGTCCTGAGTGATGGATGTAGAATAATTTGTAACAACAGATTACAATAGTTGAAAAACGTAGAATAATATACTTTGGAAATAGAAACCTTATCAGAATTTACCAAAGTGTTTATCAGTTCTATATAGCATGATAATGACCAAAATAACTGATTGTGTCTAGTAAGGTCAACCAGAAGAAAACATTCATCACTGAAGTGATTGGTAAGATATATGTGTATGTCTGAGTAGCCAGAGTGGCCACGAAAAGATGGGCTTGTGTGCTCCTTGAGTTCCCATGGAAAATAAAAATAATAACCCAAATGCATATGAGGGTACTTTTTAATATTGAAAGTAGTACTGTAGTCAAGAATAGGAGTTTAAGTGCTGATGACTATGGGTTTAACAGGTAAGACTAACTCTTCTGACTTGCCTCCTTAGCAGTGCCTTCACTATGTAATTTCTGCCACAGAGCTGTACTTAGGATATTGAGTCTGTCTTGACTTACGTGCTGTCAAGATTTATCCAACTTAAATAGCTTCTGGGAAAGTAGGTATTTCATTATGTATTGTCTTGTTCTTTGTGTGGCAGGTGTACTAATTAAAGAAAAGCAACAGTACTCATAGTAGAGCCACTGTTCTGGGACAATAACATGTCATGTAATACTTTAAAAATACTTTGCTATAACAGTCATTAGTATGATCTTAGTGTCAGGTGGATGTGGTTTTATTCTTCCACTGCCTTCTTTTAGGCAGTTGATTTGGCCCCGTGATAGATAATATGAAGTAGTAAATTTGATGTACATGTCTACATGAAGAAAAAATAATCAAATAATCAGCATATATCAAATGAAAACCGTTTTTTTACTTTTTAAATAATTCCATCATATTCATGTAACTGCACAAAGACCTTATTAATCCAGACAGTTATTTGAAAGACTCGTGTTTTTCCAGTGTAACTGATGCTTTGTATATATGTATATAAAAAACATTTTGGCCTTCTTTAGCAACATTTAAATTTCTTTCTCTTGCTGCACTAGAGGTGTCGTCTGTAACACTTGCTGTAAGAGCCCCATCTAGTGTCTAAGGCTTTTCAATGCGAGCTGTGATTTGTAGGTTAATGGGCAATTCCACTGAGGAATGGAGCATTAAAATTATTGCATCAGTACTTTATGTTAAACTGGTATGGAATATTGTAATAGGAAAAATGTAGTTTTTCCACCCACAATGAGG